TACTAGCACTGGTAGATGCTGATTATAAATTTCTATGGATTGACTGCGGAGATCTTGGTTCAATGTCTGATGCTCAAATTTTTAACGAATCTGAGTTGAAATAGTGCCTCGAAGACAGAACAATTGGATTTCCAGTGCCAGACCCACTTCCTCATGACAACGAGCCGATGTCCTACTTTATTCTGGGAGATGATACATTTGTGTTGAGGACATATTTGATGAAACCTTATTCGCAAAGGGGTCTAACCAGAGAGCACTTAATCACAAACTACGGAATATCAAGGGGTCGCCGTGTGATTGAAAATGCTTTTGGTATTTTGGCACAAAGATGGCAGGTATTACTTACAATCATGCAGCAATTCCCAGCAGTGATACAAGACATCATTGAGTGTTGTGTTTGCCTTCATAACCTCATGAGATTGCGCTACCCGGCTTTACAAAATGCCCAACTTGACCAGGAAGATGATAATCACAATACGGAGCTCGGTGCCTGGAGACAAGAAGCTAACATGCACGAGGTACAGATGCCAGGAGGACCAAACAAGGACAGCATCGCTGGGAAGAGACAAAGGGAACTACTTAAACTCTATATTTTAACAGCCCGGTAGGATTGGTACCATGGCAGGAGAGAATGATTCCCCACTAGTATGTATTATTTTGTATAGTGTTGCACTTTTGAAGAATTATATGTGCGGTATAATCTCATTCGTAAAACATATACAAATAAAGAACACAAGACAGGACGCACAGACAAACATTACAATTAATGAAAAAAAAAACAGTAATACAATCGAGTTTACACAAGTAGAAGTGTATATTGGCTTTATAATTACAAATTTTGAACTAAATAATATGCACAAAATTGTACATATAAACAGTGTACATCAAAAATCTAACTGATCTGATTTTAAAATCAAAATGAACTACTAATGTCAATTAACTGCATGTCTGACACGACTTCAAAATAGCTTTTAGAAGTTAGACTGCTGCAAAAATAAAGTGATATTGCTAGAACTGCATGTGTCTTCTATGTATTGTATTGATTGGCGTTTACTGCTGCTGGCGTCCATGTTGTCCGTCATCCACTTCTAAAAGAGAGCTTAGGCCTGCAAACACCACACTTGATCCCTCTTGTGACGGTCTACTAACAGGAGGGGTACCTGCTTGCTTGTCTTAAAATTGCTGCTGAAACTGCTGCTGCTGCACCCAAGCACGTTCCTGCGATCCCCACACAGAAGTTGTATTGACGACTTGGGATGGCCATTGTGTGGGACTAGGCTGCCACTGTATGGAACAGGGATCACTATCCTTGTTTGAGGATAGATCAGGTCTGGGCTGGATCTGTTGTTGCTGCTTCTCCTGCATGTCAGTGTAGCGGCTCACCAGTTGTTGTACGTCAGTCTGGAAGCGGCGCCAAAGAGACTTATTTAGGCCTGCCACGGCTTTCTTAACCCACTCCATGAAGGCATCGCGCTCATTCGGTTCAGGTGTATTCTTGATGCGACCCAGCAACTCTCGCTGCAAGTTAATAAGCTGTTCCCGACTACTTGCCAGGTCTGCTAAGATTGCATCATCAGAGGTTCGGTTTTGAGTTCGGGAGGCTTTTGAATACGTTGATGTTGAAGATACACTTGTGGAAGTGGATACCGTTGTAGCGGAATAATCGAGGGCGTTAACGTAAAGAGAGCCTGTACAAGCGGTATCAGCTTGGGCATCAGTAGAGTCTGATGTCAAAGTCTCTTCGGGGTTTGTTGGGACCAACTTCGCCGTCATCTGTTACGAAAATAAGTAAGAATTGATACATTATCAACATTTTCTTCTGTAATGAAAAATAATTTAATTTCATTGGTAACACGTCATTTGATTGGTTAAACAGTTTTATCCATTTTGTATAACATAACTTGCCTACGTCACAATGAGTTACGTTAAAAACGTATGACTCCGCTGGACGTTAACTTTTAAAATGTGCTATATTTGAAGCCTTTTCCGAAGTAAAAAAATGGAAAAATTGTATCATTGTCTACATTGAAATTAAATTATAAGGAATGAAGCTTATTTCAACTTTTGTTATACGATATAACATAACTTGGGGCAGTTTACGCTTTTTTATAAACCGCTTCGCGGTTTATAAAGCGTAAACTGCCTCAAGTTATGTTATATCGTATAACAAAAGTTGAAATAAGCTTCATTCCTTAATTAACAAACATCGCGTTGTTCTATTGTACAGCTGGCTTTTTAATTAATTAAACAGCAACGTATGTAGCATCACTTTTGAAATGGGGGGAGCCAGAGAAAAAAAATACTTATTTGAAAAAGTTGACAAGCCAAAAAAAAATAAAACATAAAAAAGGATAACAAAAACACTATTTCGGGGGGGGGGGGGGGGGGGGGTTAGAGGCCAATTTTTTTTCTGTACCAAGTTCTTTCAGGGCCAGAATTTTTGCATACAATGGGGGGCAACCAACCTTTCAATGAACATTTTCAATAGTAGAGGTTTTGTGTGGAAAAAGTTGGGGATGAGGGGGGTGGGGGGTGGTATATGCCTGTTAAGCCATTTTTTTCCAGTTTTTGCTTGGAAATTCGTTTGTTCCAAAGGCATCAACACTCAAGCATATGACATTATTTCGAACCTATAATGTATGTTTGGTTATCTACTTACACTAACAGCGGTGCGTTTTTTGACTTCAATGATATGGGGCTGCAGGAAACCAAACTCACGCAGAATCCAACTGTCCCTTTCTGTTAATTCCTTATCGGGAGCACCGGATCGCGTTTTCTTCAGCCGCCCATACCTTGTTCGAATGCTACTGTACCAGGTTTTAATTATGTCAACGTCTTTTACAAGCAGATTAGCTTTTTCCCTCCAGAGATATTCTTTCTTCTGGGTTTCTTTATACCCCTTTAGCTTTTTGTTGTAAAGGATTGGATGTGCACTGAGCCATTCAACCATAGTCTGCTCCAGGTCCTCTGTAAGGTCTGTCTGCATTTTCCTGCGTTTCTGCCGAAGAACATTACTACTTTCTTCTACATTGAATTGAACAGAGGGATCATCAGGCTGAGGCGTTTCCGTGGAGGGAAGAGCACCAGCTTCAACAGTCGAAGGTTCATCATGCTCATTCCCGGCTTCAGGATTTTCTTCAGCAGGATTTGTGAGGTCTTGAGTCACAGAACTTGCAACTTTTTCCCGGCCTCTTCCACGCGGTTTTCGGGGCATTTTATATTGTTACTGTGGCAAGTTCGAAGTATCAAATGAAAATGAACGTCACTTCTTTCGTCACCCTTTGCATGTAATTGACAGATGATGCTTGGTGAAATATAAAAACAAACAGCTGCCTGATAGGTCGTGGTATGATCGGCGTAACGTCATTGTAGGTCTTTGAAGGGTCGCCAGGAACGTAGAGAGATCGCAGTGGGAACGTAGTAAGAACGTAGTGTGAGCGTTGTAGGAGCGTACTTGATAAGTTACCGATTATACTACGCTTTCACTGCGCTTTTACTACGATCACAAAGACCTTTCCACGATGCTTCCGCGCTGCTTGTACGATTGCGGCGATTTTACTCCGCTCTTTTTACGACTTTACCCCGATTCCTGTTGGCCACGATCCCACTACGCTTGTTTTGAACATGTTCAAAATAAGCGTGGCGAGAGCGTAGAGCTCCCCAATCATGAAGACCCTACTGCGATCATACTGCGCTTATGAAGACCCCACTACGTTTCTCCTGCGATTTGTCACGATCGGCCACGCTTTCGGCCACGCTTTGATCGTATTAGAAGCGGCGTCTGTGTGTGAACGGGGGGGGGGGGGGTAAGTTAAAGGAATATTAATGACAAATAATTGTAAAGTGCATATAACTTGCTCTTTGAGACCCGAATTAAGTGTCAGGTCAAAAAGTACAATGAAATTATGTAATACAGAATCTGTGATAGTATCATATAATTTTATCCAGTGGTATAGGAGGTGGCATCTTTGCTAGGCAAGGTTGACAATCCGCTCCTCTCCTCTTTTAACGAGCAGCGGATCGTCACCCTTGGATAGCGAAGATGAGGAGGAGAATAAGAGTTGTATACTAGTACCCTTAATTATTATAGAAAAAATGGCAGTGTCTATTTTACTATGGCAAACCCAAAATATGTTTAGTAAATTAAAACATAAAAATATATTCACATTAGAAACAACGATATAATTTTAAGAGAAAAAATACGGCTTTGGGTTATTGCAACTCTTTAAGAAAATATGAGAAAATTTAAAAGATCATGATGTCACAACTGACATAAAAGAAGTCATGTAAAAAGAAGATTGAGAGTTGTATAACTTTATAGTGCATTGACTATGAGTAGAAAGCGGAATTTTGACTCTCTAAGAACAATATCTCATTTCGAAATGTAACAGGGCCAGATTCTTATTGAAACGGAACCTTCTTTTTTCCTACTAATTATAGTAAACGGCCATTGGGGTAGCTGGTACAGTTGGTCCCAATACAGTGGATGTAACAAGTCATGTGGATATGGTACGAGGACTATGTATCGGAAGAGATACTGTAATAAACCTTCACCGCGATATGGAGGTCGGAGCTGTAGTGGATCTTCTCGAACCTATAAATCAGTTCGATGTTTTCAAAAATATTGTCCAGGTATTTTATTTATCTTTGAGTTGAGGATTAATGGTGATAATGATGCGAGATTCAAATATTTAGAATAAATCGGAAATCATTATGGTTGAAAGATCACATTTTCGTTGTTTTGCTCTGAAGATATCAACAATTTGAGTACTTTCTTGTAATAAATCATACGGTTTATTTACACGTAAAATAGCAAATGAAACAAGAATGACATTGTGAAAGAAAACATAAAATTAATCTAATTAAACAAACCATATATTACAAATGCCTTACACATGTTCAAAATACCCCAGTTCACAAATGTAATATAATATCTTTATAAGCATTTATATATTGCTCTAATATTGATGAATTAAAATGTAAACTTTTATTATTAACAGTTCATGGTGGTTACACAAGCTGGGGAACATGGAATTCTTGCAATAAAATATGCGGAGGTGGAACTAAATATCGTTACCGATACTGTACAAATCCCAGACCAAAGCATGGCGGAAGGAAATGCACAGGATCGTATAAACAGCTTACATCATGCAACAGCCATAAATGTCCTGGTCAGTACTACTATATTTTTATCAAGAAAGTTTTCTTTGTGATGTTTAAATCCATCTCTGTTTAAGCTTTTCCTTTTTTTTTCTTTGGGTATTGATTGAACATTTTTACATGTTAATCTCTATATGTTTCTTGCATTACACATTATACAGGAAATGTACAATGGATACACAGTGTACACATAGGCATACAACTGTACCAGTGTTTTTTTTAACGAAATACAAATCTAGACTGAGACTTCAGAATTGCAACATCGGCACTTTGGTTACTTTCCTACATTAAGAAGTTAACGATTTGACATAACCCTTTCTAAATAGGTTAATGTAACTTATGGAATGCATGACAAAATGTACAAAACTTTACCATGAATTTACATGTATTCGCTTTTGACAAATTCCATAATTTTGCTCATTAGTACATAACTGATCGATGTACTAAATTCTGATAGGTAAAAGTTTATGTTAACAGTTCACGGTGGTTATACAAGCTGGGCAGATTGGAATTCCTGCAGTAAATCATGTGGAGGCGGAACTAAAACTCGGTACCGATATTGTACAAGTCCAAAGCCTATGCATGGCGGACGACAGTGTAAAGGAATCTCATATCAATATAAAACATGTAACAACCAGAAATGCCCAGGTGAGTATTTAATCTAAATCGCACACTGAAAGGGTAGCATCCAAAAGTTAAAGTTTGATATTGGTTCATTATCTGAAGGAATTATCAGAAACGAACAAAATGTCTTTTTATTCTTAAAATTTTGTTTGGCCATATTCCTGAAGAATACCTCTTATATTTGTCTGAAGATTTATATATTCATTATTCACAATTTGAGGAAAATAATAATAATAATAATAATAATAATAAATATAAAGTAATATAAAAGATTTTAATTTCTATATGTAGTTACTGCAGTTGCCGAAGGCTTTTAAAAGTGTGTTTTGAATCATTATTTTTTAAACTTCAAACTAAAAAAAAAACACAAAAAATTATTTTCGAAACAGTTCATGGTGGATACACAAGCTGGGGAGTGTGGAGTTCTTGCAGTAAATTATGTGGAGGTGGAACTAGAACTCGATATAGGTCGTGTACAAAACCTAAACCTAAGTATGGGGGCAGAAAATGTAAAGGGTTGTCATACCAAAACACATCATGCAATAACCAGAAATGTCCAGGTAAATCGCAATTGTATTGGCGACAAAATATAAATAATATAATAACACGTTAACATGTTTTTTGTGCAAATTAGTACTGTAACAGACTTTTGATTTAAAATACCGTTTAGTTTTGTATTTTTGGCATATACAGAAATGAACAACTCTATACTCAGAGAGTTGTGTACTACTCGAAAAAAGATACTATTGGCCAGTGGCAGATGATATTTTTAGTTGCACTGATTGTAAATTTAAAATAATTTTTCATTGTCATCACATGAATCAGATATCAATCAAATGTATCAACAGTTAATGGCGGATACAGTACTTGGGGAAGTTGGTCCCTCTGTAACGAGTCATGCGGTGGAGGAACTAAAAGGCGATATCGCTACTGTACAAACCCGAGACCCAAATATGGAGGAAAGAACTGTGTTGGATTGTCAAATCAACATATCACCTGCAATAAGCACAACTGCCCTGGTAAATTTTGAATTGATATTTTAAAAAATAATATAGCTGAAGCAAGTTTTGTTAATAACTTTTTTAAAAAACAATAATCATGATTTGAATACTGAACCAAAATTGTTAAATTTATGTACAGCATTTACTTACTTACATAATTCAAACATTTGTTAACAAATATCAAAAAGGTAAACTCGTGAACATGTTATAACATATAAATTCCATAGTCTTGATTTTATTATCAAGAGATAGACAGTGAAATCACGTTTATGCAAAAGACCATTTGTAATTTATTCTTTGTTGTTGGATATGATTTAATCTAATGAATTGTGTGCTTTTTTAATCACTGAACCGAGGGGCCAGGGATTAAGAAAAGCGCAACTAGTTGGATAAAAGACATATCCAGCTAAGATTCTTTTTTATCACGTTTTCACCTTTTTTATATCAACGTTAACAGGTTTTTTTAATATAAATATATAAAATCCTTATGAAACAAAATCATGTCTAAATCAAATATTGTCCAGGTTGTATAATCAATTGTTATACACAATTAAATAAATATTTTTTTTAATTAGAAGAAATGAAACGGTAAAATAACAATAGTGATTTATGTGAAATAAAAATAAAAAAAAATAAATCTGTAAACAGGGAATGACCCCCCTCCCCCCGAAATTCTTACGGTTTTATCAGAAGCAAGAGTTGTATGCATCTCTCTGTGCATAGTATAAAACATTTCTTTTAATTACGTTGTTCTAAATTATTACCAATATATTTTTGCTTCTTAGTTGATGGGAATTGGACACCTTTTAAGCCATTTATCGAGTGGACCTCCTGTAATGTTACTTGTGGTGGTGGTATAACTTCACGACAACTATTACGTTCATGTACAAACCCTGCTCCTGCGTTTGGAGGAAAATCTTGCTCTGGGAAAAGTATAAAGATTGAGAGGAAGCAATGCAATAAAAATCCGTGTCCAAGCATGTTCTGATTTCCGTGTTTTATAAGGTTTACATTTATCCTTTAATTGAAAAACTTGTATATTTAAACATGTTTTTTCTTCAGTTTATCATGTATCTAAAAGTATGAACAAACTTCACTTTTTTATCTTTTGAATTACCTCAGTCCAGCAAAGGACAAAAGTAGTGTTAGAGACTAGCTCTTAGCGAACATGTAATTTTTTTTATTTTCAAAGAAAAAGTGAGTGGCTAAGCTTAAAAAAAATGCAAAAACGTTTTAATTTTACGTTCTGAATTCGAAATTCAATTGAGTAATAACTAGTAATCATCTTAAAATTGATCATGTGTACAACCGATTCATATTTTTTGAAGACATTTAAAACAAATGATCAATCTTTAATTGCGTTTTGAGTGATTTTATAGGTAAGCTTTATATATTTTTATGGCGTCGAGCTTTAGCTTGATGCACATCTAGCTATGAGGAAATCTCTGACTGCTCACCGCTTTCTTCATGCTCCAAATAATATAGTACTCGAACCAAGACCTTCATGTATCTGGCGTAGGAATATACATGCCAATTTTTGCGTTTATTCCATAAATTGCTTGAAAATCATACAATTTCAACAGTCCTGTAGATAGTTGCCAACTCACCCACTTTCGTCGGATTACTTTTCGACCCTTAACCTGATTTTTTTATGACATGGCGGGTCATGCTTATCGCCCGATTTCCGGATTTGGTTCGTAAATTAGGTTGTACTTTTAACTTCCAGTTACAACCCAAGCTTGGTCTACGTAAACAATGCCGATGGCTATGTGCAGTAGGCCAGTAAATTATCAGTGCAGGTGTAAACAATTAACTGGGATTGTTTTGACAAATCAAAATTTAAAATGGCTTCCGATAGAACAAAATTGTTATCAGGACCAGCAGGAACAAATTGAGCAAAGAGAAAAAGAAACGATATTTTATATGTACATGTCAAGGAATCTCGGAAAACAACTTTCATTACATAAAATAAAGTGATCGAAGGCAGTGTAGATCTTACTGTACATTTAGTACACATTGCACAAGTTAATCAAATTAATTAGGCCTAAGAGAGAGGAAAAGTAATTTTAAACCCCCTAAAATTGGAATTTCAAGTTTAACACCAGGGACCTAAAAGTACTAACCCCTGCACAAGTAACAATATAAAGGCAGGGGTTAGAGTCGGAAGAATCTCGGATTAATGAGTTGAATGTTTTTATTTTATAAATGCTCAAATCGGGGTATTTTATCTACAACTATGCTTATATAATTCTATAGACATATGCATGCTTTTAAACATGCTTTGAAATCCAGTAATTTCACAGTTTCAATGCCATATCTAAAGCGTGGCGCCATTGTGGCCCTTCAGGCCTTTGATTTTTTAAATTTATGATCCTTTAATTTGGAAAATGCAGGAAAATGAGAAAACTAAGTCTATGAAAATGTCTCTTATAACACAATTCATTTATAGTTGACGGTAATTGGACACAGTTTGGACAATTTACGGAGTGGAGCCTTTGTGACGTCACCTGTGGTGGAGGTAGAATGTCAAGGACACGGTTCAGAAACTGCACAAATCCAAAACCGGCCTATGGAGGAAAGAGTTGCAATGGGTCAGAAATAAACACAGAATCGAAATCCTGCAATTCAAGCCCTTGTCCGGGTAAAAAATATTTTGGAGACTTAATCAACACGTGGAAATGTATACAGATTCGTACAAGTGTACTTTGTATGACTTTGGAATATTTTAGAAAATGCAGAAAATGAGAAAACCAAGTATATGAAAACGTCTCTTCTTATACAATTTATTTGCAGTTGATGGTAATTGGACACAGTTTGGAAAGTTTACCGAATGGAGCCTTTGTGACGTCACCTGTGGTGGAGGTAGAATGTCAAGGACACGGTTCAGAAACTGCACAAACCCTAAACCAGCTTATGGAGGAAAGAGTTGCAATGGATCAGGAATGAACACTGAATCCAAATCCTGCAATTCCAACCCTTGTCCAGGTTAAAAAATATTTTGGAGACTTATTCAACATATGAAAATGTATACAGATCAGTACTAGTGAACTTCGTATGACTTTAAATTTAGATTATTTTGGTTCTAATTACTCCCAAATACATTTCGTTTCCTCCTCTATTATTTAATCATATCAATCAGCTGACCACTTCATTGCTGAAAATACATAGTATTCAAAATTATAACATTTCTGATATCGGTCAAAAGTCTTAAATCCAAGACCATATTTTCAAACTAAGGACAAGACATTATGTCTTAATTATAAAATCCATCGAGAAATTCTAGAATGCTAGACCGGATAAGTTTTACCCATACAAACTATTCTTACGTTTTTAATAAAATGTGCCTGGATTGGGGGGGGGGGGGGGGGGGGGGGGGGGGGGGGGGGGGGGGCAAGAAAAAGCACATGCATCGGATATTATCTTTAGGGACTTTCTTAGCGGAATGAACTTCTTAATAACGATAAGAAAACTTTAGACACTCTTTAAAATGATTGTTTGAAACATTTAGATTTTATCGAATTTAAATCATACCTTTATAAACATATATCTGAGATAAAACGTTAGTAATAAGTTATGTTACAAATAGTAATATTAAAAAAAAAACGCATGTTCCTCCCACTCCACATACACAGATGAAATACTTTAATTTAAAATTAAGATATTGATTTCAAGTGAATGGAAATTGGACAAGCTTTGGATCATTTACGGACTGGACTTCCTGCAATGTTACTTGTGGTGGTGGAATAACTTCAAGACAACAAAATCGGTCATGTACAAACCCAATTCCTGCCTATGAGGGAAAATCTTGCTCCGGGGAAAGTGTAAAAATTGAACGCAAGACTTGCAATACAAAACCATGTCCGAGTGAGAACAATATTTCATTCATTATTTATTTGATCATTTTTTGTACATAGGAATATATTTTTTTAAAAAATATAATTTAAATTAGAGTCTGTTCAAATGATCCATGAGGTGAGGGTAGATTCACAATGGGGGATCAATGGCAACATTTTCAGGTAGTGTAAATTTAAGTTCGTTAAAATAATGACCCCCGTCGGTGGTAGGGATATGCTAAAATGGGGGTTAAAGTTTCATGTAAGAAAACATAGAAAAATCTTTTTTTTTAAGAACAAAAATTAAAAACCCATAGGATATGGAATTATTCTCATGCAGTTTAGAATGAATAAGGGTAGGGTTGGACGAAAATGGGGATTTATGCCTCCTATGAGAAATATCAGCCTGATAATGCAGTGAAAATTAACCAAACATGGATATGCAGTTTTGTTGATTATGTCATTTAATTCAATGACATAAAGTAAAATGTATAACAAATCATTAAGGGGGATCACCTAATGTTAAACAATACAGGATACATGTACATAGGTGAAAGGTACAAGTGTGATCCCCCTGGGACTGACTAGAAATTTACATGCAGTGAACATATCAGAGAACATGTAAATATGCATAAAATATAATATAAATGAGTAAATCCTTGGAGGCGTCCAAACAATTGCGCCAATCAAAGAAATGTATGACAAGTTATTAGAAAAATACAAATTTTGATTTGAATGCAAAATAATACAAATCCAAACCCCCCAAAAGGGTGGGTGGTGGTTTTTTTTTTTCCAACGCACTACCAGGCTAACAAAAATGGCTCAACAAAAACATAGATTTTGATTGGATTAAAAATCCGTAAAAAGGACGATAACTCTTCCAAGAAAAGCTAGGGTTGTGATTTCGCAATGAAAGGTTATATGAAAATTGCGTCTGCGATAAAGGCGCATATCCTGCAGAATGTGCAGGGATATGCGGAATTATCCGAAGGTGTAAAATATAACAGATTTCATAGCGGCATAAATTGAATTATCTGTGATAATATTGTTTTAATTTTTACAAAGGAAAATATTGGACAAATACTTTGAATAATACTTTGAAGACCAGCAATGTCATTATAAGTCATTTTGATATTGGAACATTCGCAGGTAGTGTAGACTCAAATTTGTCAAATGATGACCCTTCTGTGGTAGGATATAGGCCATAATGTAGGGCATGGGGAAAAGTTTTAGGAATTTTTTTTCGTACATTACACTTTGTCAAATGACGACTCTTGGGTCATCAAAACATAGCGGGAGACCATGTCCCGGAAAAAAAACTAAACAAGTCAAAAACTACCGTAAAGTATATTTTCTGTACATGTGATATTGATCAGATGAATGCACTCTGAATGTAAAAGTAAAAACATTACAATTTGAATTAACATTTAAACTGTAAAGCTAATAACACTAAATTATGAAACACGATGCACTTCAATTTCTAAACAATGTTTCTTGAAAGCGTTTTAAATATGCATTCATTTGCAGTTGACGGTAAATGGACCCAGTTTGGACAGTTTACAGAATGGACCCCTTGTAACGTCACATGTGGCGGAGGAACGATGTCTAGGAAGCAGTTCAGAAACTGCTCAAACCCTGAGCCAGCCTACGGAGGGGAAGGATGCAGTGGGTCAGGAATAAACATTGAAACAAAATCCTGCACTTCTTGGCCTTGTCCAGGTAGATGTATATATTTTAAGAAACTTAGGAGATGTATAAAGTTGTGGGTCTTAAGGAAAGGAACACAGATAGTTATTGTTATATTTATTCATTTTTGACTTGTTTTGTGTGATATTTGAATTCAAAAATCTCCTTAAACAAATATGATTATTAAGGAAGCTAAACTATAACTATATGTGTTTCAACTGATTAGTATATGTAATTTACTTATAAATATTTATTTAATTTTTTTAAATGGATGCAAACATATTCAAGCACAAACCACTGGACCAGAAATGTGAAACTTGCCCTTCAGAATTAAGTACCCAGATAGCAAGACTATGTTGGGCCAACATTGGCAAAAGGTTGTATGGTTGGCGTTGGGGGAACAATGTTGGGCCAACGTTGGACCAATGTCACCATGCCAACCTTCTCGATCATGACAGAATTCCTATGTTGGCCCAACGTTGGTCCAACGTTAGCAACTTCCATTCACTTTACTTCCCAAGGAAGGAGGGATGTTGATGTTGGTCCAACATTGGCCCACTGTTTGTAAAACACTATTAAAGAAAGTGTCTTTTAAAGTTGGTAATGGTATGTTGGCCCGATGTTTGTAATACACCCTTAAAGAAAGTGTCTTTTAAAGTTGGTAGTAGTATGTTGGCCCAACGTTGGCGCGATGTTTGTAATACACCCTTAAAGAAAGTGTCTTTTAAAGTTGGTAGTAGTATGTTGGCCCAACGTTGGCCCGATGTTTGTAATACACCCTTAAAGAAAGTGTCTTTTAAAGTTGGTAGTAGTTTGGCCCAACGTTGGCACGATGTTTGTAATACACCCTTAAAGAAAGTGTCTTTTATAGTTTTTAGTAGTATGTTGGCCCAAAGTTGGCCCGATGTTTGTAACACACCCTTTAAGAAAGTGTCTTTTAAAGTTGGTAGTAGTATGTTGGCCCAACGTTGGCCCGATGTTTGTAATACACCCTTAAAGAAAGTGTCTTTTAAAGTTGGTAGTAGTATGTTTGCCCAACGTTGGCACGATGTTTGTTGGATGACTGTTTTTGTTTAGATCTGATATATTCAACATTTTAAATATCAACTTAAGTGATCACAGCACCAATTAAAGAGTGTTTTATTATATTTTTTGAATGATTATTTATTTGAAACAAAACCCTTGATTTTTTTTTTTTCATGAGCGTTGTACTCATAAAAATTTAGAGAAGATTAAATACGTTCTCAGGAACAGGATGTGAATGAAGCCTACATATAAATAAATCAAAATGACACAGCTTTATAATTAAATTGAAACAAAAGTTAGGCGTTCGCTATCACGTGACCAAACTGTGGAGTGAGCTGTCAGATTCAATTGTTCACAGGTGGTGATAATGGAGGGCAAGCAAAAAGAGGTGAAATTTAAATTTGTGGATTATACACTTGCTATACAGCTGCATTTAGAAGCGATGTAAGTATATTTATTCATTCAGGTTAACTGTTAAAATTGACTCGGAATTCATTCTTGTCATGTTTTTGCAAACAAGCAGTGTAAGTTAAGGTTAAATAACATCTTTTAAGTTGTTTCTATCTATCTAATTCTTAACTGTCTATTACAGACACGATTGTAACAAGGAAATTCAGTCAGAGACTGCAAGGAAAACAAATGTGGCGGTACATGTAAATAACAATGAAATCGAAGACCATGCATAAAGAAGTGTACAAAGTATGAGTCCGTGTGATAAAGATCAAAATAAAGAAAACGGGAGGGGACGAAGGGATGGAAAAAGAGCGGGAATACAACAAAAGGACTATAATAAAGGAAGTGAGCCCTGAACTTTTGATTGATAATTTTTCATAATTTACCTCTATTGTCCATTTTAAAATTTATTTTGTAAATTATGATTGAATTGATGTATATAAAATAATATCAGAGTGAATCATTAGTAATGTTTTCATTGAACATGTCCATGTATGCATTATGAATGCAGATGGAATTGTGTATTAATTATTTTAAACAGTCATAAAATAGGTTTCTGTAAAAGAATCACTTAAACAATTGCAAATGTTTCTATGTAATAACTACGTTGGCCCAACAATTTGCCATCTGACATTGTAAAAAAAAAAGGTCAACATTGGGCCAATCTAACCAACCAGTTGTTAAGGTTGGCTGTTAGTTGGCATACACTAAAAACTACATTGGCCTAACAATATGCCATCTGACATTTCAACAAAGGGCCAACGTTGGGCCAACCTAACCAAACAGTTGATAAGGTTGGCTGTTAGTTGGTATACACTAATAACTACGTTGGCCCAACAATATGCCATCTGACATTTCAACATAGGGCCAACGTTGGGCCAACCTAACCAAGCAGTTGTTAAGGTTGGCTGTTAGTTGGCATACAATTATACCTACATTGGCCCAACAATATGCCAACATGTTGGACCAACGTTGGGCCGATGAGCAAAATTACCGTGGGCCAACGTAAGGTTACCAACAGTGGGCCAACGTTGGAAAAAAAATTGGGCCAACGTTGGCCCAACTATGTCTTGCTATCTGGGTAACTATGGTAGTTTTCATGCAGTTGTGTTGCCAAAAGGATTGTAATTACACATGTATCTACCCACACAATGAATAATCCTTTATCACTAAATTATTAAGATTTGTTTTGAAAAGTACATAATATAGTTTAAGTCAGTTGTATTAATAAGGTAGAATAGTAATTAATATATTTCTTTTCATCGAAACAATATTAGGTTACGAACAACTTACCTCTACATCCGCTCCGAATATTGAAATTACTACAATGATATCAGAGGAAGAAAAGACTCACGTAACAACTGTAGATGCACCAATAAAGAAAACAATGGTTACTACGTTGATGGCACCCGTTAGTACAACAACAATTGATACAACCTATATTAATGGATTTCTGGGGGCAAAATCCAACAACTCTGGAGCTTACAAAACAACAACTCCTAAGAATTTTCATGATAGCAATGAAATCACAACACCAGTTCAAGAGAGTGCCTCAAAGGTTGATATTCAAACAGAAATGAATGAAGAAAATATGCAAGGAAATAAATCTTTAGAGATGGAAGACCCAAATAATGGATTCGTATTGACAACAAAACAGTCGCCTCCTGATATAACCACAGAACAAACAATTGATTCTGGATTCAATGCAAGTAGCACGAAAAGCAAAGAAGAAACGACGACCGATCTCCCCGAAAACTTGCGAGTTGTAAGCACTCCAAAACCTTATGGTCTGACAACGGTTGTTTATGAAAAAGAATACAAATCTGACAAAGATAATACAAGAGGAAACTTAACTATAGTAATGAATAATAATACATTATCATACAACACATCGAATGTTGAAACAATTACAACTGCTGAAGACAATGAAAAGAAGCCAGAAGATAGTGCAACCCAATCAGCCATTATTTTACCAAACAATGAATCTGGAGAAGTAAACTTGAAGACATCAACCGACTCTCAACAGAAAACGTCACTGCTTACTACAACGTCATCAACTACTTTACCTACCAATATGGTGACAAATTTGTCTTTGGATTCAAGCAATGTAACAAGTAGCCAAGAAAAGTCAAACGCCAGCAACAATAAAGTTACAGGAGAAACAAACATTGTCACAACGCTATACAATAACTCCAATTTCAACAATCAAAGTAAATATAATTAGAATTTTAGCAGGTGTGTTAAGGCAGTATACTGATTATTTTTGAAAGAAATTTCTTTATCGTTTTGCAAAACGCACTTAATCCTTAATTTCTGGAAAGTTAATAACTATTATCTTTTCCTTAAAGAGGCTGGGGTGGCAGCCATTTTTAGACTATTTCGATCTCTTTTAAAATAAGAGCTCCATATAAAGATATACAAAAATGATCAAATTTTAAAACTAAAATGTATGAATTTTTTCTTTGCCAAATGATATTTGACAGCTTAAGATACCGTATCTAAAAAGATAAGTTAAATCTGGTGGTTAATTTGTTGACCCCCTAGCCTCCTTAAATCAGAATGTTGGCTTATCACACCTGCTTTCTTTTCTAAAAGCCCAAATGAATGTACATCCAAAGTTCTATAATGAGAAATATTAAGAAAAGGAATTGTTTTATTTATGACTACTAATGCAACAAAGGTAAGTTTATCTCATCTGTTTTCTTCCCCCCCCCCCCCCTTTTAGTGTAAAATGTCACGTGTCTTATGTAACTATTTTATAACTTCTGTGATCTTGTCATAGCCACAGCTTATTTCAAAGTCAAGACTAATGTAAATGGATAAACTGTTTCTGTGGTCCTTTAAAAACCACTTTGCAAAATGAAAGCTTCTCCAAATAAATTAAGTTTTCAGGGGCTACAGTGGTTTCTATTGCTCCAAGCTTCGCGCGATGCTGAGATTTCTATTGCGCGATGCTTAGCAAATCATGGTAAAATGAAGCGTGTTAACTTCTGTAAAGCAAATATTTTTACATAATTAATAAAATTTTAAAGAAATTAAAAAACTGCAGTAAAAAATATTATAATAAAATTTTATACATCTGAAGCTTTAATAAAACGATTTTTTAGCCGAAATGTAGAATTGATGTCGTAATGGTGTGTTTGTGACATTACGATAAATGGAATTTCTTTAAGAATCATAAAAAATTATAAAAAGAAAGGTATAAAATATAAGCTCCTCAAAAAAAATTATCCATCGCTCAAAAAATCAGGATCAACGTTACTCAGGTTAGCCTTTGAATCTAACCGTTTTTCTTTATCACTAAAAATAGCTTCGTATAAGTTAGGGAAGGCATATCCTAAAGTACAAATATCATGTTATTTCTGTTTTAGCATGTAAAAACTTTGACGTAAACCAATCTGATGTAGCCTTTACCAGCAGTGAATACACAGGGAGAAACTTTTCCAGCATTTTCAGCAGTGAGGGAATCGTGCTGACGCCTGTTAATGGAACCACACTTCTAAATGTTATATTTGCTTCACCTTTGAATATATCAAGTCTTGAAGCAATACTTATAAATCATGAAAAAGTAAATGTTACACTGTATGATAATGTTGGAAAAATCATCAAGGAAAAGGTAAAATACGAAACATAATTCAGTAAATTGAATATCATGAATGAATTATACTTATCAACTTTTTTCCTGTTTTCCAGTTGACCAATTTTGCATTTGCATTCCAACAGGTCACAGAACATAACAATTATACAGCAGTTATCAGCAAAATTCAAATTTCAATTTTTGTGCATGATCCTGAAGAAGAAATATCTGTATCGGAACTACGTGCTGTCGCATGTGTTGACTAAGTAATCATTTGTTGCATCTCTTAGATATAATGAATTGATTAAACGATAGTTACTAAAAATAGAGTTCAAAAAGGCAAAATTAAATATGAAAAGATTTAATCTTATTCTGATATTTATTCATATCATTTCTTGTTTATATAAACAGGATATTATGTTTGAGTGCCCCTACCACCACCATTTTGTCAAATGGATTTTTTTACTCGAACGAGAGATTTTTAAAAAGTATAAGTGTTTTCAGATGAAGATTTAGCAAAATTTATAGCTTAAATCATAGAATTGTCTAATCGTGATTTTGGAACACTCGTATTTATACTTTCAGGTTGCAAGATGATTCAAAGATGGGTATTGGTTTTTGGAAATAAATTTTAAGTTTTAGATAATATTTTACTTAGTTTTTTTTCTTACGAAAATAAATAAGTATGCAAGTTTGGATTGCAATGTTAAATCTATTTCCATGCAATCTTATTGTTTCTTAGGGCTTGAATTGTATTCTGATATGTGATACAGTATAACTCGTTTAGTACGAACACGGATATTACGAATCAACGGATATATCGAAGTTATCTTAGATCCTCAGCTATATAATGTCAATGAATTCCTTATTAAGATATAACGAATTACGGATAAAGAGAAGTAATTTCACATGTCCCAGTGACTTCGATATAACCGAGTTTTACTGAAAGGGCTGCAATTACATGTATTCAATGTACTGTGAAAATTTTTTGCGACGCCTTATGTTCGCGAGTAGACATTAACTCTTTATAAATGAGACAGAACATTCACGAATTGTGGTTACTGCCCCAGGTAGTAATTAGCAATACTAATCCATGTATACGCGAGAATGATATCTTCGCGAGCACACTGTTTCGCGTAATAACATGAAATCAAACTAATTGTAAATAAAAAGTGATTTACATTATGTCACTTGTCTTCCATTGGACATTTAAACAGTAAAAGAAAATATCTGATCACATCGTTAAAGAAATACAATAAGATCCCTCTAACCGCTATGTTGTACAATTTGAAATTTTGCTTTATAAATACAATTGAACATTAACTTTCCGTCCAGCAATAGTTTGATTCTGATTTTTTTTTCGTCGTGATTTTTATTTATCACATATTTGTCAATTTATTCCTTGTATATCGCTCATTGAATATTTCTTTCAATTACCACTGCCATGACAACGCAATGTTCTTGCAATGCATGCAGGTGGATGAAAAATCGAGACAACGAACAATGCTTTGATCAAACGCACTGCTATATAGCTAACTGCTTTAATCCAATAGTTGGATACAATTTAGTTTGGCTATTTGTGTTTGATCTTAGATTTTGACATACTTTACAAATATTTAAAACTTCGCTGTACCGTGGAACAGTTGAAGCTACATGTAGAGCTTACATATTCCAAAAGTTTACGAATATGTTTCTCGTGACAAGACCTTCTATATGAGTATAAACAATTATTACCATGACCTTTGAGTTTGACCTTCTTGTGAAAACCTTTAACTTTGACCGTAAAGTAAAAATGATTAATGCTTGAACTTCTATAATTTAAATGCACATTCTAAGAGAATAGTCCTTAAATTGAGTAACAAAACTTTTTGATCCCATGACCTTGATCTTCGATTTCAGTCCTCACCCTTTTCTGTTATAAGTGGGGCATCAGGGTGAGCAACGTTTCTTAGTTTTGTTCTCGTCAACAGTGATCAAATCAAACACATTGTAATATAAAAGGAAAACTAACGATGTCTAGAACAAATTGTAACTGTGCCAAACCTTTAATTATTTTTAAAAAGGGTTCGAGTGTAATCCATTAATAAAAAAAATTCTGACGAAAGGCAGATTGAAGTATATTTTTAATACCTTCAACTTTCCTCTCTATACTCTGCTATAGTATGTTGCTTCTCATTTACAAAGGGTTTATCTTTCTTCCAAAGAAAACAAATGGTAAACTTAATCAACCTCTTCCTTTTATTATTTACTCGAACAAACATGAGCATTGAGGTTTATTTGCAGACTTTCAATGAAGAATTCCATGAGGTATCCTCAGGACACCATATTTCCGTCGGCTCCCCCTGATTGCAATTATAGTATTTGGTTTTGTCTGTTGGATGCGTGAAGAAGCCGCTTTTCTTCGGGCAGAGAAAGACTTCTTCATCTAAACATTTAAGAAAGATAATTCAATATTCGTATTTTGGCTTAAGTATTTGATGATAATCGTTACATCTTCGTTTTTATGCTAAATTTGACAAAGGATTAATATGTCTATTCAATAATACAAATGGTTCATGGAGGATTGGAGCGGTCGACAGGAAAAAAATAGTCCTCCTTAGGATTCCATTTCTGAAATTTCCAGGGGTCTGTATATTTTGATCGAAGAATTGAATGTTCGCAGATTTTTTAAGATAGTTTTCTATTCGGTAATTTTCTTCATGTTCAAACAGATTTATTTCACAGATATATTGTGAATACGGAGTATTCTTATTTCAGAACTAAGCAGTTTAATTTCTGCTGTTGTACTTCAGAGCATTAAATTTAAAAGTGGAAAGAATATCAAGCTTGAGTTTAAATAAAATCCAACGGGAAATATTAGGGAAATTTTCAGTTCATATAGAATTTCAATGTTTCTTCAACATTTTCTGAAGTATATGCCTCAATTTATTTTTTTTCTTCAATCAGTCTGATTAAAACCAGCCCCCTTCTCCTTTCACGACGAGTGAAAGAAAGGGGCTGGTTTTAATCAGACTGTTCTTCAATATGAAAAAAATCCACCAAAAAAGCATTTTGAAATATATATAACCAAGAGTAATTATTGCCTGATCAACGGAGAACATGCAAATAAAGGGACTGAAGATGAAAGAACTCAAAAAAAGTGTTATACTGACCAGTTCGATCACAAGCCACGGCACGCAGTCCTGAAATTACTATATCCTCCTCTGGATTATTTACAGAAACTGTTACTTTGACTTGAGTGACAATCACTCTGTAGTTGTTGCTTTCAGTAACCTGAAATTACATAACACTTTTAACAATGATCAGGTACGTACATGTAGCACCACCGCCTTTTTCCCCAGACATTACTTTTTCCAAAAAAAAAAAATGTTCGCTGAAATTCCGGTTAAATGAGAGAAATATAGTATGCATGAAAAAAACTTTGGTACTGAAAGAAGTTGGATTCTATTCCCCTCCCCCTCCCTCCCACATGAAGAAGAAGTATAATTTTGGGTACCCCCCTTTTTTGCTTGTTAAGTATTCAGGTAAGATGAATTTTCTCATGCCCTCTTCAAAAACGATGCTTAGTCTACCTCCCTAAGAATTATGTATATATAGTAGTTTTCTTTAATACAAAATATGTTTAGTTTGTCTGGCTAAAACTCTATAAATACAAAAAAAACCCAGAATACTAAAATAAAAGTTAATTCTACACAGTGAAAATGCTTTCATTTTGCGAATGATGCTTATTCATTACATAAGAAAAAGGTGTATAATGAAAGTCAAGAAAGGAGATATATTCTTGTGAACGAGCATTGTAATCTTACATTCCGTTTTAACTGGGTCCCGTTTGCACTGAAAAGGTCGACGTCCATTTGGTCATGGTTTATCAATGTTGCTTCCAGACTTGTTATATTCACAGGAGATTGAAATCTAACATGAAAAGTGACGCTGTTATTTACAGGTCTCAGTTGAATTCCAGATCTGTTGAAAATATTGTAAATGTTGATCCCATTGTAATTGTTGCTCGTAATAAAAACTTCACTTCGATTAATTGGAACATCCTCACATGCTGCAAAAGATAAAAAAAAGTTAAAAAATAATTGGAACAAAAAATAATATAATATAAATTAATCACAAAATTCCACTTTAAATTTGCCATTAAATTGATTTTGTAAGACAAGGGAAATCTGGTGATATTTAATTACAGAGTACTCGCAAGAATTTTATATCAAAAAATTCTTTAAAAAGATATGCTTTGCCTACAGAATTTTAGCACAGCCATAGTAGTTCTAGATAATAAATTAAATGGCTACATAGAATTACGTCAATCGCAACTTCTCGGGCCTTTTCAACTAGCGGAAAAACGACATCGAATGCATTAGGAAGACCCCATGACAACCTTTTCACGATCTTTGAAATAAATGCATGGAGACCTTTCATCCGTAGAATATAGAGTTTAACTTTATTCAATGTAATGATATTACATAAAATATACTATAGAAGGAACATCTAACTCCGTCTATCCTATATTTGAAAAAACAGGAAATGTATAATATTTTTAACATCCTGATCCGGTGATGTTAATACATTCGAGGTTGTTTTTCAGACCTCTGACGGAAAGACCCGAGATAATGCGATTGAGAACTACGTAGCTTTTTTTGAACGCAGTTCATGCCAAATTAAAGAAATGACATCGATAAGTTTACTAGCAAATTCAATAACCAAAAAGAGAGTCACCATTTTCCTCTTGAGTGGTTTGCTACTTCTGGCAACTTTTGGTTTTCACAAGAAAATCATTTCGGATGGGGATCTTACTCAATTTTAATACACTGTATTTCAATACAGTGCATCAAAATAAAAGCTCGTTACCTTATAATTATACAAAATACTTTCATAAAAAGACCTTAAAGAATATTTTTTTAAAATAAGCTGTAGAAATGTTTTTTTTCTTTTTTTGTATTTATCTTGAAATGCAATATTTAAAATAAATATGTACCTTTTTCACATAGAAAGCCATAACAAAATCCATAGGTATAATTAGAACTTTCTCCATAACATCTCTTGCCAACATTTTGAGGTTTTGGATTCGTGCATGATCTATATTTTACGTAGGTCATGGTTCCATTTCCACAAGATTTGCTACATTTTGACGCTGGTTTCCAGCTACCCCATGATGACCATCTTCCATCAACAACTATATGAAAACCATGAACGTAATAACTTTAGTTTCATAAAAATAATATTAGCGGTTGCCGAATGATAATCTGAACCTTTATTTTTTCCGGATATTTCTTCAAATAAACCCTCGCACTTAAACATTTTGAATTATATTCTTTTCTTTTCTTTTTCGAAGAAAAAAATTACCATCTCCCTTCGTTTATTCCTTGTTATTTTTTCAGTTCAAATTCATTATATACCCCGAATTTTTTTTTAAACGAGTATGTTATTAAAAACAACAACAGAACTCAAAACTGGCTATAATTTTACTCTAGTCTGATCTTCTGTTTTGAGAAGCATTGATATTAATCACTATATTTTCATAAATAATTTTTTCTATCCAATACTTGATATCGTGATTACTCAACTTAGCGGAACACTTTCGCGATGAAGGTAGGAAAGGTCTGTAAGATAGGGGCAACTGTGCTATTGAATACAATGCAAGATCGACCATTGTAGAATTTACAAGGACAGAGCAGTAAAACAAATTCTGGTGGAATACCTTGCTTATCAATCGCTGAACCAGCCTAATCGATTCTTGAGAGAAGCTAATCCTAAAATTGTATATTTTTAATGACATTTTAACTAAACGGACTCTTCTAATTAAATTTTCATTGAAATTCGTCACATTTTAATGCTGATAAAATATTCTAAACTTTCCTTATTTGACAATGTACTATTTGGAGCTCAATCCTTGGCAATGCACTATACTTTAGGCATTAAATTATTCGAATCATTTGATTGTCACTACTGTAAACAATGTCATGTGCGCCAGAAATCTTGCGAGATTTAGAGCTTTCTCAACTCCCCCGCGAAAGAGCGGTAGTAAGTTAGATAACTGCGAGGTACTCGCAATATTACGTATTCAATTTGAATTCAAGTAAACTTACCTCTGGTGCAGTTTTGAACATGACAGGCTTTACGTTCGTACTTGGAGTTTCCGCCGGAACATCTCCTTCCTCCATTTCTCGGTCTTGGGTTTGTGCATGACCGATATTTTACATATTCCTGGGTTCCATTCCCACAAGATTTGTTACACTTTCCATCTGGAATCCATTTTCCCCAAGTAGACCAACCTCCGTGAACTTTGCGACCTTACAAAAACCCAATTTACTACTTTTAATGAATATTGGAACTATAATTAGTTCATTTTTTTCATGTTTTATATATTTTTAAAAAAATGTATATTAAGTTTGAAATCCTTGGATCGTTGAAACATATTCTTCTTAGTTTTAGAACATTTTTCTCAAACATAAAAAGAAACTAGCTGAAATCCCGCGCAAGCGCGGGGGAAATTAATTTTTTTTACTGCTATCAGAACTATTCCAAAAACTTTCCTTTAGATTCTATTGACAATTTATTACACAGGAATATTGAATGACGAAATACTGCAAAGTCCCGCAATTAGTGTAGGAACAGAAAGTCTATAATTATAAAAAATGCATTTCCTAATATTTTTGGATTTTTATGTTTGTATTTTTGTTTACCTCTACAAATGCCATTTTCATTTAAGGCCTCTTCTTCTTACATATTATAAATCAACTTTATTTCTGTTATACTATGTTATACATCATGTACTACATGCAGGTGCTCATTGGCATTTTCCCTTTACATGTTAGAATCTTTATTTTAAAATATTTTAAGCTACATCATTGCATATTATAAATACATCACGGATAAGATATTGAATGTGCATATCTAACTATAAATTTGTCAGCATTTTAAAATATTGAAAAAAAGCTTAGTTTTCATCCCAAATGTACATACAGGCCTAAAAGGTATAAATAAGTTTTAAAAATAAAAGACTGTATGTAGAAATTCATTGAAGTAAATTATTCAAAAATTATTTAAATCGTAAAAATTTGAAAAAATGAGGACTAGATATTAAATGGGAATATCCTTGGAACGAACATTTTTCTCTTAGTTTAAGAACTCTTTCCTCATATATAAGAAGAAACTTCAATCCACTGACCATTGTGTCGAACAGAATGTCTGTTTTAAAATTTTGTGTCAAAAGCAAAATACCAAATTTTTGACGCCAAATTTTGTAGATTATTTTTGTTATGTTTGAGTTGTGTGATCAGCTAATAGGTTTCTAGGAGTTTGGATTGGTTAGCGAGGGTGTTCGTGGCAAGTTCGTGTCTTTGTGATTCTGGTTTGCTTAATCACTTAAAGGAAGACAGGAATACAGGTTATTAGAATGTTTATTAGATGAAATGAAATGGAAATACGAAGAGAGATTACAGAATAATCTGAAACAAAATTATCCTTATTATTATAACAAATATTATAGCAAATTACAGAATAATATTAATACAATGAAATCAAGAAACATAAGACAATAAAATAAAGTGCGATAGTGATATGATACATTGTCAAAGAGACATACCTTAAAGGAAGACAGGAATACAGGTTATTAGAATGTTTATTAGATGAAATGAAATGGAAATACGAAGAGACCGAATACAGGCTATAGCTAGCAGAGCCTTTATATACTCCAGATCCATTTCAGTGATAACCTGTTTCCTTTTAGTATTCCCGTGACTAGGTTTCAAATCTAAATCTTTATTAATCCTACCGACTGCTTCAAAATCATGACACTCGGATTAATTATAATGTATGATTATGTGTTGTACATAATATTCAAGCATTTATCTATATGACCAAGGTTTCCTTACTTTCATGCACCGCACAATGCATATACCACTTTTTAAGTTAAAATTTCTTATATTAATTACTTCATCGCCCAAAAAAATTTGGTGCTCTAAATTTTATAGTAAATATGTATATGTATATTAATATAATACTTAACCACATTTCTTAAGCAAACATTATGTACATCTGATGTAGAACAAAAGTTGCCATTCATTTAAAGTCCTCAGATGTAACATTAAACTTCACAAAGTTATATATAAATGAATGGCCTTCCCGTATTCTGACAACGGACTGGACAAAGAACAAAGTTGACATTGGTCCATTTTTGGCCCTGTAAATTTCTAAAAAATCAGAACTACTCAGTTTAAGTTGAAAATATGTTATATTTTACTTGGACCCTTGGTGACTTCATATCAAATAAAAATGACGTAATTTTTTCTCTTGTCTATGTATTATGACGTCATGAATTTCGTCATTTTCCTCAAATCTTGAATATTTCGTTAAAAATGACCAAAAATTTAAGCTTTTTTTTTAATATTTTGCATAACCCCCAATCTCTGATCTGAAATGTTGAATTATATAATGAAAGAACTGTTTCAGAAGATTCTAATCCATGAAAGAATTTTTGGATCGCGGGGTGGGCTCATGTTTTTATCAAAAGTTGAAGATGCTCAATTTCACCCATTTTCTTCAAAATTCAAGAACATTACAATTTCACAACGCCTGAGTTTCCAAACTTGGACTCTAGAGGACTTTTTTTTTATAGGAAATGAAAGCACTAAGTCTCTACTTTATGTTGATGATCGAAATAGGACGTAAGGACTTGGTCGTTTAATTGGTATATTGACAGGGCCATTTTATGGAGTACGTGAACCTACCTCTTTTAGGGTAACAAACAAGCTGCAATATTCATCTATTGACATACCTCCATGCGTAAAATTATCGTGGATAAATCGCTATCGAGTCATGAGAGTAATGAAACAACCGTATATGACGTACATCTTACTAAAACACGGCAATATAACGATGCCCATACCGAATACGGCCGCGCAAAAATATTTCGATTATTTTAAAAACTAGACATACGCCTATCTTCTTGCTCGTTTGTTGGTTCAGTACAACTTCATTTTTATGTTTGTTCACTTTTTCATTTTCTTTATCTTAACATTTATACTACAATAGATAACAATGTTTAAACTCTATTGATTAAATACAGACAAGATGTCCATTATATAATATATATATGTGAGTGTATTTTTCATCAACTTATATTTCTTGAGTCATGCAGTTTGTGAATTTCATTAGGTGATGGGTTATGTTAACATATACTATTTTATTTTTCATCTGAGGACTTTAAATGAATGGCAACTTTTGTTCTACATCAGATGTACATAATGTTTGCTTAAGAAATGTGGTTAAGTATTATATTAATATACATATACATATACATATTTACTATAAAATTTGGAGCACCAAATTTTTTTGGGCGATGAAGTAATTAATATAAGAAATTTTAACTTAAAAATTGGTATATGCATTGTGCGGTGCATGAAAGTAAGGAAACCTTGGTCATATAGATAAATACTTGAATATTATGTACAACACATAATCATACATTATAATTAATCCGAGTGTCATGATTTTGAAGCAGTCGGTAGGATTAATAAAGATTTAGATTTGAAACCTAGTCACGAGAATACTAAAAGGAAACAGGTTATCACTGAAATGGATCTGGAGTATATAAAGGCTCTGCTAGCCTGTATTCGGTCTCTTCGTATTTCCATTTCATTTCATCTAATAAACATTCTAATAACCTGTATTCCTATCTTCCTTTAAGTGATTAAGCAAACCGGAATCACGAAGACACGAACTTGCCATGAACACCCTCGCTAACCAAGCCAAACTCCTAGAAACCTATTAGCTGATCACACAACTCAATTATAACAAAAATAATCTACAAAACAAATAAATATCAATTTACTTTTAGGAAGAAAAATAACAATAACAACAAATGAAGAAAATAATAGTACTCAAAAAACTAAAACCAATCGCAAAATAATTTTTCCTATTTGAGATTTTAAATTGTGTTCGAAGGTCGCTATTATGAGTATTTGTTGTATAAATCATTTATGATTCCTTTCTCACAAATATGATTCAGTTCTGACAAAAAAAACAAGATTTTGATCGAGTTCCACTACTGCACGCATTGGTTTTACCCTTAGACTTAAATCAAGTCCCTTGACGTTCCCATGTCAGGTGCAAACATTAATCTGTCTCTCTCTGACATTCTCCTATTTCTCCCTTTGTCCCTGACTGCCCCATGACATCCCCTGATTTTTCTCTGACTCTTATGAGTACCTAAATCATCCTAGTAGCTAATTCCTGGTTACAAGTATCTTTTTTCCATTCCAAACTAATTTGCAGTATTCAGAGGCTCGATTCCAAGGTTTCAAAATATAGTGCTACCTATCAAAGATATTTGGTAGTAGAAAAATTGCTTTGTAAAATACTTTTCTTTTAAAAAAGGCTCTAATATAGCAAATGAAGCCAAAATTGATGGGTTCTTCTTACACATTTATACTTAAATTTCGGACATGCTTCTTCTTGGAAAAAATTGTAATCATTCTTATGTATTACTATTTTGAACAAAGGACTCCCGTGAAACCCCTCACAATTATCATGAGAATCAAGACTACGCAAAATATAATCTACACTTCCTAATCACGATTTCAAATCAATATATTAAAACCAAGTGGAATTTTCTTACCGTACCATGTAGAATAAGATTTATGAATATTCAAATTGTGACATATATTTTTAAATTGACCAATACCCACCTCTATTACAATGTTGTCCGTAACAAGATTCATTTTTGAACATTGATGTTCTACCGAGGCACATTTTAACCCAGAAAATTTTTCTAGGGTTTAAGCATTTTCGGTATCTAACGTATTTCTGAGTTCCATTTCCACATGATTCGCTACATTTTCCAACGGTTCTCCATTTGCCCCATTCAGACCATTCTTTTCCTTTAAAAGTTATGGAATATAGATAATGTATTGCATGATTAAGAAATGTAAAACATTTCAGCTTAAAATCAATTACTGTAAAACACATATTTTCGTGGGGTCAATTGCGTGGTTTGAATAAAAACTCTTGGTTTGTGGGGTTTTGAATTCGTGGATGAAGAATTGTTGAGTAGTTATGTATGTAACATTTTACATTTCGTGGTGGACATAAATTCGTGGGTCTCTATATGCATTAAAAACAAGGAAAATTAAACCACATGAAAATTTGTAATTTTACAGTATTTTAGTAGCAGGATGACATTCAGATCATCTTAGCCAAAAAAAAAAAATGAAACGATCTTCTTCTCATATAAGGGAGTCTTGTCTTCGCCTGTTACTAGATGTCTTTTTTTGTCTTGTATCTGTCATGTTTTTAAAAATATAATCTTCTTTCTACTTTATGGTCAAACAAATATGTAGTATCATAGTTACGGTAAAGGAAATTATTTTTGATTCCTTTCAAGGAAATATATTAATCTGATGGCATCTTTGATTTTTTAAAGATTCATACGGCCAAATACAGAAACAAAATAATGATTATTTAAATATTTTTAACATTGAAAAACATGCATTTACTTTTTCAAGTTCAAGCAATATTCTGAGGATAGAAAGAGATCCTTTTAAACCTTTCTGTCCTAACTCAAAATGATTTTAATATTCAGTAAAATAAACGGAAAGGTCTTCAAGATTTTAGTTGTTGATACATGTAAACATTATTTAACAATATAATTGTGAAATAATTTCAAGTTCAACAAAAGGAACATTAAACACAAATTTAACCCTAGAAATTTTGTGTCGAAAAGAATTGTATTTTTTTGTATACAGTATATTGTTAGGAGAGACATTTAGCAATAGTAAAATGGAGAATATTATTCTTTAAGTTAAAATTTGAAATATTTGTTTCTCATACTATTAAATCTTGGTTAATATTAAGATAAGGTAGTTAATTTGACTTTTCGTTGATTTGATATAATTTTTTTCGGTTTTGGAACAATGGTATTGCCCGTAGACTTCAAAGCCAACTAAATTCACAACCCAATGTAGTATTTATTTTCTTGACAAACTAATAGTACGTTTTAACCAATGGTATGTTTTGAACAAAAGCTCATTACATTAAATGTTACCGTGTATAGTATGAATTGCTCTGTTTGCTTTGTTTGTTTACCGTTCCTTCGAGAACCATTCACTTATATTTAGACTCCAAGCTAATTAAATTTTGCCATGCTGTTTCTGAGATAAGTTCTTAAATAATTATTTAATACTAGTTGGCTTAATTCATGGTCCTGTTTTAATCCTTTTTCCATGAATTCATTATTTCTCAAATTTTACATATTTAATTACACATCTTTATGGCAGCAATATTTTTTTAGTTATCCGATATATTTTAAAATTCATATTAAAATTGAATCAAATTAAAATTAAAATTGATATTAACATAAGATTATATTTTTTTCTTCTTGATTTAACATTGTAAATAAATGTTAAATATTTTCACAATAAAAAATTGAAAGATACTTGTACTCACCACAATCTTTTCCGTAACAAGTTTCACTTTTGTACATAGATGTTCTACCAAAGCACATTTTGACTCCGAACTTTATTCTAGGGTTTAAGCATTTTCTGTATCTTACGTACTTCCGAGTTCCATTTCCACATGAGTTGCTACATTTTCCAACAGGTCTCCATTTACCCCATTCAGACCATGTCTTTACTTTAAAAAGAAATGAATAAGTGCATAAATAAAGAAAAAAAGAAAACATTCGTGAGAAGTTAAAATCTTTTGTGAGTTTAGTTTACTTGAACCAAAGGATGAAAATGTTTCTCTAGCCTGGTTCCCTGTCCCCGTTTTGCTTTATATGATCCTCGACGCTAGGCCTTGGCAAGGGTGAGCCAGGGGACCAGACTAGATAGTTTTTCCTGATCAAACAGTGTTCCGTTTCCATCTTGGGATGCCTATCATTTTGAGCATGCCTTCTATATTTTCTTACATTAACAATTTCTTCTTAAAAATTCCTATGTCAGTTTTAACTAAACTTACCATCAAATATCTTTGAAAAAGGGATCGATTTTTTTATGAAGGGTCACAGACTTTCACAGAAAGATAATTAAAGACTCTTTAAAATTTGGTGACATCATTAAAAAAATCTTTCGGAAATACCACTGGGTATAAAACAAACAAAAAAAACAGAACCTTTTATATGATATATAGGTAAGATCTATTTTGTTCAATTAAAAATGTCACTAAGTTGGAGTGGGATCTTTTTCGGAGATCAAAGTTTTATCCGAGATTATACAGGAAATATTTCAGTTTTTAAATCCTTTTAAGATCAGAAGGACGACGATAAGTCATTTTTATGGAAGAATATTCAGGTAGTGTAAATTTGAATTTTCTTAAATCAGTACCAGAACGCAATCTAATGAATTTCAGAATTCTTATAAATTTGCGCCGTATACAATCTGTGGGTCTAAAAAGTCTGGTTTTATTTAGATTGTACTACAATGTATATTGTAGCGTGCGGCGTCAACAGGGTATGAAATTTTCACATGGGAATATACATTTGTATAATATAATTTGTTCTTAATTAAAAAAGTGAGGCTCTGTAAAGTCATATATGTCATATAAAATGTAGATTCCAGATTAATCAAAATTGTGTTCCCTTCCTCTTCCCAGTAAGGAAGTATAAAGCCTCAGGGAATTAAAGTATATCGAAAATATCTTTGAAAAATCATCTTCTTGATAGGACATATCATATGTAATATGATTTAAGGATGATCAGGTGGTGTGGATTCAAGGTTATGCAATCACTAGTCCAAGTAATTTAAAAGTATTCATTTTAGTCTAATTTGAGAATGTAGTCTTATTTGAGAAAAAAATTTGAAATTATCAACTCTTTCTCTTGTATAATGGAAAATTGATTCCATTAATAATCACATTTAGGGCAACGGCATCTAGAACAAGATTAATAAATGAATGTTGAAGCACTGAGGTATGTCCTGTATCTTACTTATTTCTGAGTTCGCCTCCAGCAGTTACATATACCTATGGGGCTCCAGCTATCCCATATTGACAAGATTTGATTTTTTAAAAATGAATCTAAACATATTCTGCTCATAACTATCAGAACTAAAAAAATACTGTACTGTGCTGAGTTTCAAGAAAATCGATGCTTTCAATCATATATGTGTGTACTAACCTTTACCGCAAGAGGAGCGATGACATCGTTTATATGTATATGTTTTCCTTCTGCCGTAACATCTTTTGCCTCTATAACGTCGTCCTCGGCTTAGACAAGTCCTATATCTGACGTATTTTTGAGTTCCTTTCCTACAGTTACAAGTTCCAACTGGTCTCCATTTGCCCCATGCAGACCATTTTGGATCTACAGTAAATTGATATTACAGTAAATGCATACCAGTATATCAGATTCCTCAACGAATATTGCTTTTAATTAGAATGTTCTAATCTGTACAATTAAGCATTGAAGTCTAACATCTAGATGTTCTCGATCTTTTAAAAGAGCTCACCTAAATCAATATTGTCTTTAAGTAAGTCCATTATTTAACCAACAATCTAGAAGTTTAAATCTCAAGATGCAACATCCTTGCAGCTTTGATCTGATAGAGCTAGCAGGTACTAGGGATTAGACTTATCCAAAAGCTTAAACTAGTCACCCAACAAGAAAATGTGATTCAAATTCAGCATCTGAAGCAAGTTTGAGAAAGTTCATCGCCTGATGCATAATACCTGCAAATTTGGTAAAGATAGGCCTAATAGTTTCTTGGTAAGAAATTTGTGTTCATACCTTTAACCTGATTAATTATCTGGAAAATGTATGCCAGATCTAGAATCCAAAGAAGGACCATTAATGTACATCCTTAGATGTATCATCTATGCAGATTTGCTGATTATAGGGTTCATATCCACTTTAGAATGAACCTGCACCAAAATCTTTAACCTATGCGCTCATCCAGAAATAGCATGTTTGATTCAAAATCCGAAGCAAGTCCATAAGTGTGCATCCTTAGAAATATCATCCATGGAAGTTTGTTCAACATACAGCTTATAGTTGTTTGAAAATGAAACTGTTTCAAAATCTTTAATCTGTTCACTTATACGGAAAATGTAGGTCAGATCCAGCATCCGAAGCAAACCTAGTAGTGTGCATCCTTAGATGAATCATCCATGCAAGTGTGATAAATATAGGGCACCATACATATTTTCTATTTAAATAAATGTTTAAAATTCCTCTCAGAACTATAAAGTACTTTGTTGAATTTTAAAAGAAATAAAGACAATAAATTTTAAAAATGTAGTAAGATTTACAACAGACAGAGCGACGACATGGTTTATATTTATATGTCTTCTTCCTGCCGTAACATCTTTTGCCCCAATAACGTAGGCCTCGGTTTAGACATGTCCTGTATCTGACGAATTTTCGAGTTCCTTTCCTACAGTTACATTTTCCTAGTGGTCTCCATTTGCCCCATGAAGACCATTTTGGATCTGAAGAAAATTGACACCAAATATAAATATCAGATTTACAAAAAGCAAATCCTCTTTAGTTCAAAATATTTTATTCTGTACAATTAAGCATTGAATTCTAACTTCTGGATGTCGTCGATCTTTAACAGAGCTAGCTCAGCTAACATTGTCTTTAAGTAAGGCCAAGTCCTTATTTAACAAACAATCTAAAATGTTTAACTTCAAGATAAAACATGCTTGGATCTTTGATCTTTGATCTGATAGAGCTAGCAGGTACATGTACAAGCCATTATACTATCACCCATCTAGAAAATGTAATTCAAACCCAGCATCTTAAGCAAGTTTGAGAATGTTCATCCTTCTATGTATCATTCATGCAAATTTGCTCATCATAGGGCTTATACCTCCTTTAGAATGAACCTGCTGTGCAACCATGAATGCATCATCCATGCAAGTTTGCTCAATATAGTACTCCATACAGATCATCTTCGAATTACTCTCTTTAAATTAATTTTATACATTCTGTTCAGAGTTAATAGAACGATAAAGTACTTTGTTGAACTTTAAGAGATTAAATAATAACCTTCAATGCATAAGCCATGCAAGTTTGCTCAATACAGGGCTCCATACAGAGCATCTCCGAATTAATATATTTAAATTAATTGTATATATTCTGTTCAGAGCTATCAAGAATGTAATATACTTTGTTGAATTATAAGAGATTAAATAATGTCACTTATAAATTTGCAATAAGCTTTACCACAAATGGAGCGACGACATGGTTTATATTTATATGTTTTCCTCCTGCCGTAACATTTTTTGCCTCCATAACGTAGTCCTCGGTTAAAGCATGTCCTATATCTGACGTATTTTTGAGTTCCTTTCCTACAGTTACATTTCCCTACTGGTCTCCATTTGCTCCATGAAGACCATTTTGGATCTACAGTAAATTGATATTAAATGTAAATATCCGATTTGTTTATAGTCATCATTTCGTAAGTTCTATGGTCGATACAATGACCTTATCAGCAAATACAATTTATAATTGAATGAAGTGCTGACCGACATTTTACATACTACATGTAACTGTTTGTCCATTATTTATACACTGAATTGATTACGGAATTTTTCGTTATTTTCCGATAATGACAAGACTCACACGGCGGGTGTGACCAGTCAGCGGAGGATGCTCACTCCTCCATGGCACTTGATCCCACCTCAGGTGTTTTAGAGGTCCGTGTTTGCTATACTCCTATTTTGTATTGTTTTATGGACTATTGAGATTGAATACTGTTCTCCATATACAGAGGAAACAATACCCAAGACCCTCCAATGCATTAGAGGTGGGATCAGGTGTTATGGGTGAATATACATCCCCTGCCGACTGGTCACTCCCACTGTGTGCTCCTTGTTATGATCGTGAAATAACGGAAAATCAGTCATCAAATCAGTATGTAAATAATTGACTAACAATTAGTATGAAAAACGTCAGTCGGCATTTGACTCAATGATAAACTGTCATTGTATAGAACTTACAAAATTATTACTTCAGATCGAGACTGCTGAAATGCTTGTTTCATATTTAAACTACAATCGTCTTGTAATTGTTTTAAACAATATAAATATTTTGGTTATTTTACTTATTGAAGAGTTTACAGGTTTTTTTTCGTATATTCAACTAGTGTATTCTACTGTGACAAGGTTTCGCATGTGCGTTATAAGATAACTTGTCTTGCATTTGTATCTTCAACTACTGCTCATACATTCTTTGCCTCCTTTGCGTAGCTTCATGTGTGTACATCTGCAATGATGAGAATTTCAAACATAGGTAATCAGAGATGACAGAGCTCACCTCAACAAATGTTGTTTTTACGTAGGGCAAAGTCCCATATTTAACCAACAATCTAGACGTTTACATTTCAAGATGCAACATTTATGCAGTTTTGATTTGAACGAACTTGCAGTAATTTGGTAAAAGAATTGTAACCCATCAAACAAATGTAATTCAAATCCAGGATTTGAAGCAAATTTGAGAGTGTTCATCCATTGATGCATCATCCATGCAGATTTGATTAAAATAGACCTTAAAGTTCCTTGGTAACAGATCTGCTACCAAACATTTAACCTGGTCCATTACCTGGAAATTTAAAATGTGTATCAGATCCAGATTCCGAGGCAAGTCCATTAGTGTGCATCCTTAGAAATATCATCCATGGAAGTTTGCACAACGTAAGGCTCATACATTCTTTAGAATAAACTTGCTCTTAAACTTTTTAGCTTTTTACTAGGGATGGCAATTCGTAACCGGTTAATCGATTCATCGGTCGAAACGATGCTAATCGGTTAGAAAATCTGTAATCGGTTAGTCGGAAAAAATAAAATATATGTAAATTTGAGCGCAGTTTTTTTTTAGAATTGCTTCTTTTTTTGGAAAGGAAACCGTTGCATATCTTATTATTAAGAAGTTTGGAGGTAATTATATATTGCTCTCCAAATTGAGATCGTAGGGGTAATTGGTCAATGCGTAAAGTGTTAATTACTGTTTTAGAACATCATGCAGTTATTTACATAGTCCTGTGATTTTCCAATGACATAAAAAACATCACCGTTAAGCACTTTCAATTATTGTTTGTCTATATTTTGCCGTTATCTTTTAAATTAAACTGTTAGAAAAATCGTTGTAAATTGTAAATAAAGTGAGAGTTCAGACATAGTTTTGATTATGGTGACAATATAATGCAGAATTAACCTCTTAAATCTACGTTGGAAAATTATCCTGTCTGATTTCTCAAACAAGATTCATGGTCTTCTTAATTTTTTCTTGTCTATTGAAATTAAAATAAAATATACTCTTATGTACATAAAATTCTCAGATCAAAATAATAAACAAAATGTAACTTCTAACTTCTTTTTTAGCCTTCTTGTGTATATGAAAAGAAAATGTCAAAATTAGTGTTGGCAAATCGGACGATTTTTTGTAACCAGTTACTCGCTTCATCTTCCGATCGAGTACCCGGTTACTCGGATGATTTTTGGTAAAAGTATCAATATATATTATTTATCTTATTCTATACTTATCGGTAGTAGTGATGCATAAATATACTGTATAAAGAAATTATACACATTATACACATAATACATACATACGATATCGTCTTAGATTAAAGAAAATGAATAGGGAATTAGACACACAAAGAAGACAAATAAATACGTCATCATCAATCACCATTTTACACTTTCTTTTCCAGCCCCTGAAACATGTCGCAATCAAGGAGAATAATTATTTTCATACTCCATAATTAATATTTATTATGTGGAGTGTCCGGTAAATCGCTGGTTTCCGAATAATTTAAGCTTAGGTGATTTAACAGATTTTGAATCAGCTGTTCTTTTGTTACAACTCCAAGCTAATTATGTCTGCGGCGGCATCTCGTTAAATTATGAAATGAGGTAATTATAATCCAGGCCTTCAAAATATGTACATACCATAAGCAATCAAAACTATCAATTAAATAAACTGTGAAAACTAATCAAAGCAATTTGATTCACTACAAACATGCACTAGATCAAGTCTAACGGTACCTAGAATTAGGAAAATGTATAAGTTAGTATACATTTTCAGATTATAACACATTCATTTTCTATGCCTTTACTATGTAGAATTAAATTTATCCGAGTAACCGAATAGCAGTTTTACTAACCGATACTCGCAACGTTCGACGGTTAACCGGATAACCGGGTACTCGTTGCCAACACTAGTCAAAATGTATATCTTGATACGACTAACCGGTTAATCGGTCTGAACGTTTTGCGGTTAACCGATTAACAATTCTGGAATCCATTGCCATCCCTACTTTTTACTCATCCGGAAAATTCAGCAATGGAAGTATGCCTGGTCGTGCTCATTCTTGGATTTGTAATCCACGAAAGTTTAGTCAGATCTAGAGTATTATACAAAATTCTTACTTTCATGTATAACTGTTCAGTGGGAATAGCACCAGGATATTTAATGGAACTTTTGTCAAAGCAAATCTCAAATCAAAAACTGCGTTCTTCTCGAAATTCCGAAAGTTGTTATACAGTACTATTTAACAAAAGGAAAACTTTCAGCGACAGGAGCTTTCGTACGAGCGGACCAAAATCGTGCAAAGAATCGAAACCGCCTTTAGACATAACAAATCAAAATCTATGCATGAATTTAAAAAGAACAATTTAAAAACCTACTTCTTTAGGGATTTTAATGCTATATTAATTATTACTTTCCATGTATCCCTATATATCTGTACATAGTATATTCCAATATCTATTATACAGATTTTGAATATGTTGATATAAAAATAGAAGTTTAATCAAATAAACCAGTTTCAGATTCAGTTTTATGATTATTTAGAAAGGAGATCAGATTCAGCATTGATGCGACCTGGTAATATACACGTATGCATCCTTAGATGTATCATCCGTGCAATTTTGTTCAACACAGGACTCTAAACAGACTATCTATGAATTATTTTTTATATAATAGTAATTAGAAAAATTCTTATCAGTACTTTGTTGAATATTAAGAGATTTAAGGCATTATATAATGTCACTTATAAAACTATAATAAACTTTACCACAAGTGGAGCGATGACATTGTTTATATTTATATGCTTTCCTCCTGCCGTAACATCTTTTGCCTCCATAACGTATTCCTCGGTTTAAGCATGTCCTATATTTGACGTATTTTTGAGTTCCTTTCCTACAGTTACAAGTTCCAACTGGTCTCCATTTGCCCCATGCAGACCATTTTGGATCTACAAATAATTGATATCATATCTACATATCAGATTTATAGAAAGAATATCCTCTTTACTGAGTATTATTCAATTCAGTACCATTAAGCATTGAAGTCTAATATCAGGAAGTCGTCGATCTTATAACATCGCTATGTTGTCAAACTGAATACCGCAATAATATTTTAGTTGAAGATGTAGAGGGGTATAATACAGCACATAACCCACTGTTTATAGTTACATTTTCCAATAATCTCTCTTCAAAGATACTATTTTAAATTCACGTTAAACCCCTATTCTTTTTATTTCAGAACCTGTGTTGTTCATGTTGTTAATAGACATAAATTAAATGATGTTTTAACAGTGAAAGTTGAATGACGCAATTCAATAATTGTTATGATCAGTAAATAATGGGAAATCCGTCGTCAAATCGGTGTGTAAACTATTGACTAACAATTAGTACAAAAATCGTCCGTCGGCATTTATTAAAATCCAGGAACTGAAACAAGATTGAGAGTGTGCATTATCCGTGCAAATTTGGTTATAATAAGCTTAATGGTTTCTTGGTAAAAGACCAAACTTCAACCTTGTTTATTATATGTACATGTACCTGGAAAATGTATGTCAGATGCAGAATCTGAAGCAAGCCTGGTCTACATGTAGCATTTGAATGATAGATTTAATCGCGTGCCTTATTTGATATTTGCGAGTTCTGTGACCTACTTTAACTTGCGAATATTAATCGTTGATAATTAACCAATCATCATGCTTAGTATTGTAGAGAATGTTTGCTAGGTCGCGAAAATTAATCGTCGCGGATTGCATGATTTCGAACTGACGAATCGTGAATAAAGGATTACACGAATAATAGTTTGTGTACAATACTTAGAAATGAAATCTGCACCACAAACTTTAAACTGTTCACTTATCGAGAAAAAGGCATGTCAGATACAGCATCAAAAGCAAGCCTGGTAATGTGCATCCTTTGATGTATCATCCATGTAAGTTTGGTCACCATACTTTGGTTCATAGTTTCTTGGAAATGAGACCTGCATCAAAAACTTTAACCTATTCACTCTTCCGGAAAATGTAGGTCAGATCCAGCATCCGAAGCAGTCTGGTGGTTGTATCATATATGCAAGTTTTGTCAATATTGTGCATATAGATACTTGCAACGTTAACATCTGAAACTTCGACTGGTATATGAAACGCTAAAAGCATTTTCCATGCAACTCCAATCACGTTAGGGTAAAGAAGAAACTGCACCAAACCTTTGACGCCGATGTCGACACTGACGCGGACACCGACAACAACACCGCCAGTTCCAGCTGCTCCATACAGACCATCCTCGAATTATTTTTTTTTATTGATTAAGAAATATCTGGTCAAAACTACATGTGTAAGAACTCTAAAGTATTTTTTTTTAAATTTTCATATTTATTACTATGAATTATAACAAAACGCCCAGGGGCCACAGCACTCACCTGAGCACATCGGCTAGGAAAAAGCACATATCAGATCAGAACTGAAAGTTTACTGAGGGGGGGGGGGGGGGCTTGAATTTTAACCCCCCAGGGGATCATGCTTTGAACGTGCTAGAATCTACACTACCTGAGGATGATTCCATATAAATATTACTAATCATGGCTTTGAAGTTCTTGAGAAGATTTTTTTAAAAAATGTCCTATATATTCCTATGTAAAACTTTGATCGGCCATTTGGCCCCACCCTACCCCCGGGGATCATGATTTGAACAAAGTTAAATCTACACTACCTCGGGATGATTCCACATGAGTTTTATCTTTCTTGGCCCAGTGGTTCTTGAGAAGAAGATCTTTAAAGATTTTTCCTATATATTCCTATGTAAAACTTTGATCAGCCATTTTGGCCCCATCCTACCCCCGGGGGTCATGATTTGATCAAATTTGAATCTACACTACCTGAGGATGATTCCATATGAGTTTCATCTTTTCTGGCCCAGTTGTTCTTGAGAAGAAGATTTTTTAAAAATGCCATTAATTTTTCTCCAATTCAGAATTTTCTCCCCTTGGAAAAGGGCGTGGCCCTTCATTTGAAGAAACTTGAATCCCCTTTTCCCAAGGATGCTTTGTAGCAAGTTTGGTTGAAATTGGCCAAGTGGTTCTTGAGAAGAAGATGAAAATGTGAAAAGTTTACAACGACGACAACAACGACAACGACGACTACGACGACGACGACAGGCAACGGACAAATTTTGATCAGAAAAGCTCACTTGAGCCTTTGGCTCAGGTGAGCTAAAAATGTAATATGCTTTACCACAAATGGAGCGACGACATCGTTTATATTTGTATGTTTTCCTCCTGCCGTAACATCTTTTGACCCAATAACGTAGGCCTCGGTTTAGGCATGTCCTGTGTCTGACGTATTTTTGAGTTCCTTTCCCACAGTTACAATTCCCTACTGCTCTCCATTTGCCCCATGCAGACCATTTTGGATCTACAGTAAATTGATACTTGTGTCAGATTTACAAAAAAGAATATCCTCTATACATTCTAGGATCTAGATGACATCGATCTTTAACAGAGCTCACCTCAGCGAATATCGTCTTTATGTAAGGCAAAATCCCTTATTGAACCAACATTCTAAAATTTTATATCTCAAGGTGCGACATGTTTGCACCTTTGATCTGATAGAGCTACATCTACATGATACATGAACTAGAGATAAGATATCAAAAAACTTCAAACTAGTAACCAACGAGAAAATCAAACAAATCCAGCAACTGTAGCAAGTTTGAGGGCGTTCATCACATGATGCATCACCTCTACAGGTTTAATACCTACTTTAGAATGAATCTGCTCCAAAAACTTTAATCTGAACTTATCAGAACTATAAGGTACTTTGTCGAATTTTAAGAGATTAAATACTGTCAATTATAAAAGGTTATAAGCTTTACCACAAATGGAGCGACGACATGGTTTATATTTATATGTTTTCCTCCTTCCGTAACATTTTTTGCCCCAATAACGTAGTCCTCGGTTTAAGCATGTCCTATATCTGACGTATTTTTGAGTTCCTTTCCCACAGTTACATTTCCCTACTGCTCTCCAGCTGCCCCATGCAGACCATTTTGGATCTACAGTAAATTGATATCAAAAGTAAATATCAGATTTATAAAAAGTATATCCTCTTGAGTTATAATTATTTAAATTGTGTATCAGTAAACATTGAATTCTAACATCTGGATGTCGTCGGTCTTTTAACTGAGCTAAACTCAACGAATATTGTCTTTAAGTAAGGCAAAGTCCCTTATTTAACCAACAATCAAGAAGTTTATATCTCAAGATGCAACATTTTCACCTTTTTGATCTGATAGAGCTTGCAGGTACTAGGGATTCGACTTATCCAAAAACTTAAAACTAGTCACCCATCAAGAAAATGTCATTCAAATCCAACATCTAAAGCAAGTTTGAGAGTATTCATTGCCTGATGCATCATCCCTGCAATTTTGGTTAAGATAAGCCTAAACGTTTCTTGGTAATAGACTGGAATTCAAACCTTTATTCTGAATAATTACTTGGAAAATGTATGCCAAATCCAGAAACCGAAGAAAGTCCATTAGTGTACATCCTTTGATGTATTCTAGTAATCTACGCAAATTTCTTTATTTCCCGATCATGACGAGGACCACACGGAGGGTATAACCGGTCAGCAGGGGATGCTCACTCCTCCATGACACCTGACGTCACCTCTGATGTTTTGGAGGTCCGTGATTGCTCTGCTCCTATTTTGTATTGTTTTAGTGGTTTGATCTTGAATGCTGCTCGTTATCTCCATGTGTTTCGTTCAACATAAGGCTTATGCCTACTTTAGAATGAACCTGCTCTAAAAAATTAAACCTATACGCTAATCCGGAAAATGTAGGTCAGTTTCAACATCCGAAGGACGTCCATATAAGTGTGCATCGTTAGAAGTATCATCCATGCAAATTTGTTAAACATAGAGCTCATAGTTGTTTGGAAAAGAAACCTGCTTTAAAACATTTAACCTGTTCACTCATCCGGAAAATGTAGGTCAGACCAAGCATCCGAACCCAGCCAAGTAGTTTGCATATTCATTAGATGCATCATGTATGCAAGTTTGCTCAATATAGGGCTCCCTACAAAGCATCTTCGAATTATTGTTTTTAAATCAATTTTGAAAATTCTGTACAGAACAATATGGTACTTTGTTGAATTTTAAGAGATTAAATACTGTCAATTATAAAAAAGTTATAAGCTTTACCGCAAGGAGAGCGACGACATGGTTTATATGTATATGTTTTCTTCCTGCCGTAACATCTTTTGCGTCCATAACGTTGTCCTCGGTATAAGCATGTCCTATATCTGACGTATTTTTGAGATCCTTTCCCACAGTTACATTTTCCTACTGGTCTCCATTTGCCCCATGAAGACCATTTTGGATCTACAGAAAATTGACAAACGGAATATCACAATATAATATATTTTGTCGGAACGGACAAGTGCTGTTATACAACACAATATAATTATAATTATTTTATTACCATTTTCTTATATTCTCTCTTCAATCATATTAATTTAAGTACATGCTGATTTTACAGTGTTTTAAAAACAATTGCTCTTGCAATTGCTTAATAATGTGAGCGCAGAAACGGTAGATTTGGGTGTTTTTACTTAATGAAGAGTTTATAGTTTCTATCGTGTATTCTACAAATACTTTCTATTGTGACAGGATTTTGTGTGCGTTAAGGGTTGTTAAATGATGTTGATTTACAGTGACTTTTATAAAGAAAGCTGCAATGAATATAAACTTAAAATAACAATTTGATGTAAATTTCCGACCTATGAAAGAATTGGAAAAGCTTTTGTAAGATCTTAACCTTACCACAGTGGCGGCGATAACAGGACTTGTACATGTATCTAATGCTACTGCCGTAACATCTGCTGCCTCCGTTACGTGGCCTCGGGTTGGTACATGTCCTATATTTTACGTATTTCTGGGTTCCTCTTCCACATTTATTACTACATTTTCCATATGACATCCAGCTGCCCCACCTAGACCACCCTCCATTTACTTAAAAATAAAGAAAAAAATGGAAATCCCCATCACCAATCACAATCTTAAGATAACTGAACAAAATTTCGGCTAAGAAACATAATTTGGACTTTTTATATATAGCCCTGAAGGACTATTTCCTGAATGACTGTTGCATGAGAGAGAGCCAATCTCAGTTTATTATCTGATTTTTAATGGCTCGGGGGACTTTGTTGAAAACTCACTGATCTTTAAAATCATCTACTCTATATTTGAAAAACAAACAAACAAAACCGTGAGCATTGCACGTCTAAAAATTGGTTTTCGGGAAAGATCATTTGAGGGTCTAGCTTGTAATGAGACCTATATAGCATATAGGAAAAGAAAATAAAAGAAAAAAATGTTTAAATATTAAATGAGATCTACAATGGGGTACATTAATAATATTTTCCATTGCATATTAATTTTTATTATGTTGTTCTTAGTAAAAAAAAAAAAAAAAAAAAAAAAAATTCACTCATATAATGTCGACATATCGGTCCTCAATTAGAACATGCATTCTAGGCACCTTGGGGCATTTGTTGCGGGGATCTTGATTGTACCTACGCCTAACTAGTTACTGAAAATCGAGTTTTAAAGTTTCATGAAAACCAGTGAATTTCGCATCTAATTTCAAGGGCTTGGCCGAAGAACATTTACTACTACATGTATGCGTCTTATAGACTTGTCCCTATAAACAAACTGTAGGGTCGCAGCAAACGAGAATTAAGCAAAGGTTTACCGGTTACGATTCGAACGTTCTCCGTTTATATATGTATTGTGTTGTAAAGAAAATAAACAAAACATGAAAATATAACATCTTAGATTTAAATAGTTAGAAAAAGTGAAGATATTTGCCTTCAATCAAAACAAATATTTTCTGCATCCGTTTCAATAAAGAAAATACATGTATATCTTTTACGGGAAATTTTTCTCAAAATTTCAATACCGGGGTATTTCAATATATAAAAGACATTTTTTTTTAAAAAATATTAGAATAAATGAAATTGTACCTTTGCAGGTTGTTTTGCATATTTTATACACAAAAATGGGTCTTCTTCCATGTCTTCTTCCATGTCTTCTTCCATGTCGGTTACCTCTTCTCTTGGAACGTCTCTTGTAATTAGATCTTCTACCAGAACGACGACGGTTTATACCCCTTCGATAAGAACCTCTTCTATAACGTCGCCTGTAAATCCGAATTTGTGTACGACGCCTGTACACGCGTCTTCGAGATCGCCGAACAGTAACATAAGTTCGCCTATAAGTGCGTCTTCGAGATCGACGAACAGTACCATAAGTTCGCCTGTAATTGCGTCTTCGAGATCGTCGAACACTTACGTATCTGCTCCTGTAAACGCGTGTTCGAGACCGTCGAGCAGAATTCCGTCGCCTATAGCTATACCCACGTCTTCTGCGAGAACGTCGAACACTTCCTTTTCGTCGTCTGTAAAATCGTCTTCGTCTGTTGAAACGTCGGATTTTAAAGCGAGAGCCGTGTTTTACTTTGAAACTCCCTCTTACATGTCTTCCTCTGAAAGTTGTTTTAAAAAACTGAAGGAGTTTAAATTTTCATAGTTACGAAAGCAAGCTATTTACATGTATGTAGTGTATTGAACTAAACTGAAATATTCAAACCAAGTTATGAGGGAATCTAACATACTAGTATGCTGAAAAATTACTCTTAAGAGAAGTTTAACCTGCAACAATTAAGTATCCAACAAAATAAAACTAAATTAATGCGTAGAATTTTAAAAAAAAAAACAAACATGTAAAAAAAAAAAAAAATCAGAAACCTAATTTCTTTCACATATACATGTACAGTAGCAGAAACTCAAAGTTTTATCCCTGACACCATTTTGAAACATACAAAGACTACTTCTTTTGGTTACGTATTTTAGAAATTCTTTTTAGATGTTAATCCGGATATTTTTTAACTTAAGTTTTACTAATAAAATTCTAAAGCTTTATTTTGCAATTATCGATTCTATTGTTACTTCTGTGTTATTAAAATGTTTACTTAAGTCTGCTTTTAGTTTGTGATCTTGGGACCTGGAATTGAATCCATTTACAATATCATAAGTGAAAAATATGCTATCAGTTATAGTTAGTTTAATATGTTTGGTGGTCATTATTTTGTTATTCAACCATGTATGAAAACCTGATTGTAATAAATATATTTTCTTATTTATACCTTTGTTTTTTTTTTATCTACTAAAATGAATTTAAACATACCTGTACCCATGCCTCGATGGTGACCAATATCCTCCAGATTTTGAGATGGTCAAACATTTATAGGTTTTGATTCCAGTCTTTTTGTTACAATATCTAAATAATCACCATTCACTGAATTAATGTGTGAACACAAATTTAGCGACACTTGAAAACAGAAATATAAAATTGACATATAGAAAAGTCATCTTACGAAAGTACACAAGAGAACAGGTAAGCTAAAAAACAAAGGCTCAGTAACAATTTGATGTTCATGTTGGAATGAAAAGAAGATGATAGGGATGGGAAAAAATGTTTTCCTGCATCAGCAAATCCATACTGAAAAAAATAACACGCAAATATTTTATCAAATTGTAACCTGATATTAAATGTTTCAAATAATGGATCTTTTTACAGTACAACACAGAAAAGTAGGTATCGCTTTGAACTCCAAAAATCAATGTTTCAATGTCAATTGTTACAATTTTTATATGCAATGTTATCATTTTATACTGCACTGAGATTTTGTGGTATACGGGTTTCTTTTTCAAATAGAATTCTTCACAATACAATTTCTTCTGGTAAAAATTTAGGTCATATTCTATCCGAGTAAATTTAAACACTATAGTATATATTTTGCATCATTCAAAGTGTAACTGTTAGGGACCAGACAAAATTTATCACAATGATGGGACCGGTACAAACAGACATGGGACAATGAGTTTTTTCATCGAAGAAAACTAGGGGACAAAAATATTTTAAGCATCAACACCCATGTGACAAACAGTTTTTTTTAATGCATTACAGTACAGTTTAGCACATTTACTCATAGTTAAACTTATTTCAATGCAGTATTTTTTTTTTATAAAATGTATTTTCACCTTTAAAAATCATAAAAAGTACAACATAAATCTATAAAGCTGCATTCAAAAGAAGAAGCTAAATAAATAAACATACCGAGTAAAAGTAATTGTTTACAATGAACTTTTTTCTTATTACTTAGTATTTGTTGCAAATATTTTGTGAACTATTAAGATGTAACCATGGGACAGTAAATGATGATTTCAAAGAAATATTTTTTTATCAAATGTCTTAAACGCTTGCTAAATTTATAAGCAGATTGATCAAAGTTATCTCCAGAAACAAAAAATCAGACCTATATAGGGGTCTTTGATGTAAAAGAAAAAAAAATACTTTAAAAAGTGTAAAGTTTGTGGTTGATTTATTTTTTTTAATTTTGGAATTTCAGAATATATTAATTTCATTTGTCACAATATGCTTGGATATTTTAGAATCATCATAAAACATTTCACTTCACAAAGATAGCTCTCTGAGCAGTATCAGAATGGAAAATAGAATTCTTATCTTAGCAGTGCTGTAAATACTTTAAGATACTTCAAAAGGGGAAAAATCCTCTTAAAAAACAAAATATATACAAAGTCACGTACATGTTGTTCCTGTTTCAATTCCATTTGAATGGAATTAATCGCAAATCGAATTTTTCAGATAGTGTGCCCCTGTTTGTCGATAAAATATTGAGTGAAAATAAAAAAAAAAAATAAGAGAGAGAGCACAGGAGGTACGCGAACTCCTGTGGAGAGAGAGATGTTAATCCGGGAAATTATCAGCGGCGGTTTTGGTTTTGGACATAATCGTCCGCGATTCTCTTCCGAGTAAAATTTTGATGTAAACAGCATGACAGAGTTTAGAGTTAGGGAGTTAGTCCTAGTGTCGAGATATTTTGAGACAGAATTGAAACAAAAGTCCATTCGATGTTAAGTCAATTCTGTTCATGGATGAATATTTCAAGGCAGCACAGCATGGCGATCTTGAATATTTTAAAACATTAACGGTAAATACAAATAATGAAGGAAAACCTACATGGACATTGAACACACAATACGACAAGTCGGGTGACACTGTCCTCCACATCGCAGCTAGATGTGGCCACTTGCCTCTTCTGCAGTATCTCATAGACTCTGGCGCCGATATAGAAACCTCGAATCTCGACGGTAAAAGGCCCCTACATGAAGCAGCCCAGGCTGGTCAGACAGGCTGTGTGGAGAGTTTACTGAAGGCAGGGGCGCAGGTGGACAGTTTAAAGAGGGCTGACTGGTTAGTGAGTACCAGTAGCTTATTGATTATAGACTGATAGTTGTATGTAGTGCTTACACTTTTCATTATAGGCATATCTACTGTTTATTTTTGTGTAACCATGTTTTTTGATGGAGAGGTTGAGTAAAATTCCACAATTCTGGGGAGTTCGCAGGTTTATCAAGCAATGTAAACAACAAAAAGTGAGAGCTTTGCAACTTTAGAGTTTTGACACAAGACTACTCCAGTTAAAATATAATTAACTGGCTAGCAAAAATAGGAGGGGTGATCAAAAAGTTCGCAAACTATCTCTATATCTACAAAACCACAATTCAGATTAGAATGAAATTCAGTACACACATAGCCATACACAAGATCTATAAATAGGGTATGCTGAATAAAGTTTTTCTCCTTGTTTGTGACGTCACAATGTGAAAATGACGTCACTATGTAGGTCACTTGTGACGAAAAATGGTTGTATAAGTCGAACTCGTTCAACAAACGACTGTACAATATATTGTATAACTCAGAAATTCCTCTGCGGTATCATATAATTATTTGTACACAGATTATTAAGATAAATGGGTTCCTATAAATTCAATTAATGATTGGATTGATCGTTCTAGTGAAGGAAGGCAGATGGTTAAATATGATACCTGTCATCTTGCCCAGTGAAAGCAAGTTTGAAAAGATATGTGATTTTAATTAAGCAATTTGCTATCAAAGGCCTCCAATTTACAATTGAAAAATAGTTGAATATTTGAACAATAATATAGTTATTAAATACCTAAAATATTGTTTACTTTAGATTTTAAACATATAACATGTATAAGGTTTGATAAAAAGGAGGCACTTATTCTCTATCCTCATTGAATAAAGGTCTATTCCGAGACAGAAGATTTGTGATTTAATGGTCGGCATGCTTATTTTTGGAAAGGATATTCTTATCCACCCATTCTGTTGCCGAGATTTGACTATTTCCGACAAATGAACTGTTCTTGGTATAAAAATTAACTCACATGGAAATAAATATAAAACTCAGAAAAATCTTTCAACTTTTGTGACAGAACGCTAAGGAGGGGGTCACGTGACTGCCAATATCATGTGATTCGCGCATGCGCAGAACGGTGGGTGATGTGCATTAAAACTGGAGAAGATTGATTTAAAATATAACCAACACTGAAACCAAATATTGTTTCTTTTTATGAAGTTATTCAATTAGTTCGCAAACTTTTTGATCACCCCTTGTATATATATGTAAGAGGACTACTTTTAAAATACTAGACATGGATGTGCTGACTGATAGTTTGAATTGTGTATTCCAGGACTCCCTTGATGCTTGCCTGTACCAAAGACAATGAAGATGTAATAAGGCTTCTTCTGAAGTTTGGGGCCAGTGTCCACTTAAGAAACAAAGATGGATGGACACCCTTTCATATAGCTTGCAGGTCAGAAGAGTCTTAGGAAATAAAACTTTAAAAGCATATAATAGATGCATCATTTGTTTGCCTACTGGTAAAATTAATGTCGCTCAATTAAATTAAATCCTAAATTCAAAATGCTTTTTCCTTCAGTAAAGATGGTAAAAAAGGTATTCCCTAAAGATGTGATATTTAAAACATTCATTGAATGATTCATTTAACATGATAAACTCACTGTTAAAAAAAAAGTCCTGATACAAAAACACCCCCAAAAATATTCAAAACAGCTTTATAGCTAGTGGAAATGACTTTGCTAATATTAATACATCTGCACACATCTTAGAAAATATCTATAAGGTATCTGGCTTATTAATTAATTCTGTAGACCTTCTTGTGTGAAAACTTGCTATATTCTTTATAATTACATGTACTCTTTGCTTTGAATTGCAGGGAAGGCCACATAAACATTGTTCAGCTTCTTTTTACGCATGACAACTCAGTTTGGAACACTGCCAGTAAGAATAAAAGGACCCCTCTACATACTGCAGGTAAATTAAGTCCAATCAGATGCTATCTGTTTTACTGGAGAAAAAAACAGGTTGGATTTCAATTATTTCATGTCTTTGAAGTGCATGTTCACTTGAAATTTACCAAAGTTTCTTTCATATTTTTTTTCTGGCAAAAATCAAGAAAAAAAATATTGTGACCTTCAAACGACCATACATGTAACAAAGATTTTACATTAGTGAAAGAAAGTTTTGTTTATTCAATGATAGATTGTGTACTGTGAAGTATACTGCGACACAATGTATCTGGCAACAATACATGTATATATAAAATCAGGCAATTTCAATCCAATCAAATTCCCTGATCTGTCAGAAATTTTATCTCCCACTACATATTAGATAAGAAAAGTTTCATCATACAAATATTCTGTACTGTAGATTCCTAATTATATGCGAGGAATTAATTTCCACGTAATTTTCGCGAGAAGCATCAGTCGCGAATTAATATTACTCGCTTTAATTTTTATGGTGTTCAAATCAATGTAAATTCTGTCATTCAACCATCCATTCACGAAATATTACTATCGCGATTTGACATTAAATAGCCAGTTCGAGTTAATGAGTACTCAAGAAAAAATAAGGAATCTACAAATACTCTGTATTTGAACATCACATATTTCAGGAACTTGTAAGATAGAAAATTGACATCCATGAATTCAATTTCCATCCCTAAAAGGGGTGAATCATACAGCAATATAATATCCTAAAACCTTTTACTAATTCATTTTATGAGCCTCAGTTCTGTTTGTATCTTTTCAGCTTTACATGGCTGTGTTCCAGTTGTCTCCTTTCTCTTGGACAAAGGGAGCTATCCCCCAGACAGCAAGGACAGTGCTGGGACTACTCCTCTGATGGACGCCATTAGATCAGGTCATACTCATGTAGCAGAAACCCTGATCAGCAGACAAAAGGTACACTGGTCAAAACCAGATTGATACAGCAGATTTTGTTTAATGTTCTTATGTTTGTAGAGACTATTTTGTTTGTCTGAATTATATACTGCCAACCAAATGTCATTGAATTTTGGAGAGGAAGTCACTTGGACCTTCCAAACAAGGTAGTGCATGTTTATCATTAGGTATTAATAAAAGAATTTTTATTTAATTGCTTCCTTGATCAGATATTAAATAATTGAATATCTGTATCAGATACATGAACACGTGTACATGTATATGAAAGAATACATGTATTTGCTCTGGAATATCTTTATTTACTGAAATTACTGTTGGCATCTGGCTTGAGCCTTGATGGAGTTTTCATTTTTTTGTGTAGGCCAGTGTTTATGAGGAGGATAACTTTGGATTACAGCCTCTTCACCTAGCAGCTCAGTCTGGATGTCTAACTTCAGTCAAATTTCTGGTGGAAAGCTTAAAGGTCAAGGTCGACTCAAGGTCATCAAAAGGATTTACAGCTCTCTTTGTAGCTGCAAAGGTATATGTATTTATGTATGAATTGCATCACCATATCAACTTGATGGTGGGGTGGGGGGTTAATAAATTGTACATGTAAATGTAATGTAATTATAGGCATACCTACCAATCTAAAGCTAATTTTATATACTTTTCATAAACAGGAAGGTCAGTTATCTGTGATATCCTTTCTAGTGGCATCTGGATCTGATGTAAATCTCACTGACAATAAGGGAAGAACAGGTAAGTATATTTATCCTGTAACTATTGAACAAATAAAAGTAACATAATAAACTAAAGCTATATTCAGTCCCCAAAACAACCATATGCATTCCCAAATCTTTATAAGCATTGTGACATACTTATAATGATTTATACACATGTAATGCTTTGTTATGCAAAAGCATCATAATTTCAACTGTAATGGTGTGCCTTAACTAAAGCTATATTCAGTCCTCCAAACAGCCTTATGCTGTGACCTTTTTTTTATAGACTAATATGTAATGGAGGCTTGTATAAGATTTTCTTACCCTTGCTCAAATATGCTTCATGGAGTGATCATGTATTTTCTAATATTCCAGTATGAAATTTATGAATGCATCATTGTTTTTATACCGTATAGCAGGGTGCTAATTTTGGTGTTTTTATGATAGTCCGCTAAAATTTTAATCGCCAAAATAGTCAGTACTCTTCTAAGTGTCCATTTTTAAAGAGCTGAAACCCTGCATCCGCTAAAATAAATTACGCCAAAATTATTGGTATACCTTTGAGCAGGCAAAATGCCAAATTTTACACCCGCCAACAAAAAAACGCTATACGTTATATTGTTGCACGGCCTTTAAGAATTCAAACAGGAAACTTTCAAATTAATTTTACAGAAAAAAATCATTTCAGGAGAATTTCTGTCATGTACCGTATATCTGAAAAATAAATTAAAAAAAAATAATTAAAAAAAAATAGTAATTTCATTTCCGTAATTAGAGTTTTCTATCTTTTCAGCTTTACACATTGCTGCGGGAGCTCAGCATTCAAAGACCTGTCAGTTTCTCCTACAGCACAGAGCTGTTATCAAGGCAGACAACTCTGGCACCACCCCTGACATGCTATCCAGGAAACCTGAAGTCTGTAGACTATTTCGAAACTATCAAACTCCAGAAAAATGATAGTAATTTTTAAAAGAGAGTGCATATGCAGATATAAAATAACAATGACAGAGTGAATCATTTATTTTGAGTGAATTTCTTGGATATGAAAAGATTTTAAAAACATGATGTACAAAAATGACCTTTGGATCTATCCCCCCCCCCCCCCCAAAAAAAAAATCTGAAACATATTTATAATATTCATATTTTTATTTGATATTTCTGAAATAAAAAAAAAAATATTTAAAAAATTATTTGTTCCTGTTTTTTAAGTTAATGGTCATTAAATAGAGTCTTATCAAAGGGCAGATAACCAGAACATCCTTGTGCATTGCATAAACAGGGTATTAAATTTGAGTCTTCTACTTCCAATTGTGTATTGTTTTTCACGTTTATTTCACTTGAAAGTCCATAGTGAAATGTCAGCTCTTCTCCTGTGTTTATTTTTCTGTTGGCAAACAAACACAACAGGGGAATTTCATTGTTAACTCTAATGGGAATCATTGTCAAGTTAGGATCACAACTATGATTCAGAAATCTGCCAACATTCCCAAAGTACCGGGGGTCAACATGAGTTTTTATCACCCCACTTTTACAGTGTTCATTGACAGTTATAATGTAATTCATGTCTCTTTTCTGTTGAGCTAAGCTACGATTCTTGGCCTCTTCATAAGTCAAAATTTCCCCCGCATATTCACATACAAACATTCCAGGACTCACATCCTCAAGAGTTTTAACACCTGCACCTTTGTTTGCAGTGCAGAAAAGCTCAAGTCTTATCTGTACTCCATGCTGAACATTTTTATTCACACAGTTTTTTGAACAAGTGCAGTTGCTGTTGCATTCAACAATCACTTTCTGTTCTTCTCCATGGAGATATTTACTATAGAGTTTTCCATCTTCTGAGTAATTCCTTCCAAAGCGCTGGATACAGGGACAGTCGCTGAGGCATTCCTTACAAGAACAACCTTCAAACAGAGATTCAAATTTCTCCCATTGTGTGCCAGGGCCTGGGATATTGTGCTTTACATACTGAAACTAAAGAAATGAGTTGAAGTTAGATACATGTAAACTAGTTTGCCCTTTGCTTAGTTTTTGTCAATGATTAGGCCATATAAATTAATTTTTTGGTTCTCAGGCCCTGCCTCATCTCTTCCAAGGGTGCTTCATTTACCCTTTTTATTGCTAAATCAATAAAATAAAACAACAAATCACCTCCCTCATCATTTTGTTGAGGTTTTGTACAATGTAAAAAGCTGTCCCAAGTTTTGGGGGCAATAAAAAAGTAAAAAAAAAAAATGCCTCCCCCCTCATCATATTTCTTGAAAAAAAGGTCTGAAAACCAAAGAATTAACTTTGCATGGCCTTACTAGTACATGTATATAGGTCCCTATTTAAAACAATCTGTTAAGCGCATTGGTGCATGTACAGCTAATAAGTAGTAGAAAAACAAGATATATAAAACAGTTTCATTGTTGTTTTAGATTGCTTCTATTCTGTTTACCTCACCTGAGCCAACTGAAGGCTCGAGTGAGTTTATCTGATCAAAATTTATTTGTTGTCTGTTATAATCATTGTGGTTGGCGTTGGTGATGTAAACTTTTTTTTAACAATTTCTCTGTGATTAGAGTATCTGCTCTCCAGTCGCAGAGGAAGGAGTTGTTCTTTTGAATCTTATCAGATATACACAGTAATTATGTGAAGTACATGTAATATATATGGATCTATTCTGGTATGTAGTGTAACATCATAGTCTGATGGTAACAACTGTAAACAAATGTACATGCACCTAGCTAGATCACAAAAAAAAGCTTTAGTGTTGAGGGCAACAGAGGAAATGAAACCTGCCACCTCTCTACCCCCAGAGGTCATTAAGATTATTTTATAGTTTCTCATGATGCAGAAACACCCAAAATGGGAATACCATAAATTACTTTGGCTTTCTTGTCATTTCATTACTTTCATCAGAGACATAAATGTTATTTATGTCTCTGCTTCCATAAATTCTCAATGAGTATGCACGGATTTCTTTAAAAGGTCTTTGATTTAAAAACAAAAAAAAAAAAAACGTTCAGAAACATAATTATTTATGTCTCTGGTAGACTGGCAAGTATGGTAGTGGGTCCCTAGCTGGAACCTTTGTCGAAAAGACTGTTCTTTACTTTCGTGTCTCGTGTTATATATTTTCCATTATCTCTGCAATATATTGGATATTTTTCTAAACCATTTGTCCAATCGCTCTGAATATCATCAATCGTTTCATCCATTTTTTTTCCCCCCAAGAAGTTGATGAACAGCTGAGTCAAAACAACTAAACAAAAACAATCGGAAGTTCAAAGCAAGCAGAAAAGGCTCGAATATAAAACCAAAGACGGTCATCTTCCGTAATCGATAAACACTTTATGTTCAACACAATAAAATTCCTGTGTCTTTTTTTTTTACAACTCATGTTATATAATTTTCAATCAGTATCTTCATCAATATTAAGTGCTTAAATTAATTGTTGAAAACTTGATGCATCGAGATCGAAGTTTTGTTTTGATCATAAACAAAGATGTCTGCGCCCAGGTTGCATTGTTTGATGGTACTTAGTTCGGCTGTTGAGGGTAAAATACAATGTTTTGCATCAAAGTCAGAGCAGATATCATTGTAACACACGAGTATCATTCCATTTTGTTTTCTTTTTTTATCAAATCAACAGTATTTTATACTTTAAAACGTTTCTTATAATAAAGTCTTATCTGTAGAAGTGGGCGTGTCTAAACATCAGCAAATTGTATAAAGTCAGGCACAGTCTCTTGAAATAGCTTCATGTATATGTTTTGAAATAGCTATATAGCTTTAAAAAGCCAAAAATAGCTTGATTATTGATTAAGCAAGATAAATGCATTTTTTTCCAAGAATATTTTTTAATTCAAGATATTGTGTCAGCCTTGATATCATGATTATTTCAACAATTATTTTTATATACACAAATTGAATCAAATTCAATTTAAATATCAAGAAATATTGAGATACCTTTATAATTCAACTATTACAGGAGTTTCAGCCCATTCTTTCATTCAGGCATACACTCTAGCAAGTTCAAATTTCTCCATACAGCTGGCTTCATCTCATGTAAGTTCATTTACAAAGTCATTTAAATCCAAAAGAAAAAAAAACCTACTCTTTAAAGCTTTGCAAAACATGTCATGCATTTCTGAGAAATGTGCATATGCATTGTGCAAAATAAAATAAAAGAAAAAAATGTGCAGTGTAATTATATTGAAATTGAAAAATGAACGTACTTAAGAATTCCTTCAATCTAATTAAAATCGACACAGAATGCATAGGGATCAAATCTATGAAGTTTGAATTTAAGTAAATTGAAGTTCCTATCTATTAATATTAGGGCTGGGTATTGGCCTGAAAATTCGTATTGCGATATATTGCGATATTTTTAAATGTATTGCGATATGTATTGCAATATTTTCAATGTAATAAAAATGGCATTTTCTTACTATATTTACTTTAATTTACATGCAGAATGTACACAACTATGATAAGTAACCGACACGGAAAAAAATCTTGTTGATTTCATTTAAGTTATGTTCATGAAATTTTACCACAAAACAACTTCTGACTTACTGTTTGGCTTAATAACAAACTTTTATAAGTCCATTTTTATATTTAATAACAAAATTCCTTAATCTATGTATATTGCCAATATATCGATATTACAAAATTGTATTGCGATACGATATTTTTTGTCATTGTATTGCAATATATTGAAATATCGATATTATTGCCCAGCCCTAATTAATATAATTATGCAGATATCAAATTTGATAAAAGAAAACTTTTTTGATGTTATATAATAAAGAAAGTTTACATCTAAGTTGTAAAAGAACTTGTATTTTAATAATTTTATGCATTTTAGGGTAAGAATATAGAATATGTTCAGCAAGATGATAACAACAGAAGATGGTTTAATGAATTCCGAAGCAAATCTTCTTCTACTCCAATAGCCTTTGAAACTGTTGACTGTAAGTTTTTACAAATATATTCACTCATAGACTTCTCAATGAAAGAGAAAAATAAGATTATTTGGAATATAATTGAAGGAAATGTTTGTATGTTAGGAACTGGAAGACAAATGCATATTGCTTTGAAAAGGATACTGGAATACATATAATTAAAGTGTTTTGATGAGGGTAGGCAATCTGTGCATAAAATTGACCATGCTTCACCTTTAACAATAATTAAAGAAAAAATGTCCTCAATGTTTGATTTCTTTTTTGTAGCTGCCAGATACTCTGCTTTGTTGATACCGTCCTCTCCAGGAGCTGTACATGATCTGGCAAATAACACAGAACTCGCACAAATCATCACGCATTTCATCAAAGAAAAAAGTAAGACATCAATTTTGCAATCTTACCATTCATTTCTTGAATGATAAGCTTTGAGATATCTACAACACCCAGAAGAAAAGAATACAATAAAATTTGGTTAAAAGTCTTTAGGCTTCATTTTAATTGAGATACTTTATAGCTGAGTTTTGCTGTATCTTTATAATTGTAGTGCAATTTACATATGTACATTGTATGCAAATGGTGTCTCTGGAAAAAAAATAGAGTTTAAAAACTTGATGCATTTGCATTATATTTATTTTTTAGAGCCAATATGTGCAATAGGAATGGGTGTTGCAGCTCTTTGTAGTGCAAGGTTGCCTGACAGCAAGCACTGGGGATTCAAGGACTACAGTCTAACAGGGGTAGGCTTTATAATAAATTAAATCACACTGAATACAGTAAAATTACCATATAATAGCAGACTTTTTAGCGAGGATTTAATTTTGGTATTACAAATGTATTAGTGGGGGTGCAGAGATCACTACTTTTTTAAAAATTTTATGTTACATACAGCCCTCTGTGTTTGAACTGGCCAGAAATCAAGATTTCGCATCACTTCCTGTTATTGTGGAGGACTTCATCAAAGATCATGGGGGAAAATACAATAGTAAGTCTACTGACTACTGATACAATATTGAACATATTTTGTACAACTTCTCAAATGTTCTAGCTATATTTTGATTTGATGTATTCCTACACAAAAACTTTTTTTTTTGTTTTAATGAGAAAGCTAAAAAAAAAAGTGATAGAATCTTTTGAGATGTTTTATCATTTCAGGTAGTGACATGGATGCAGTGCATGTGATCATAGACAGACATTTAATAACAGGACAAAATGCCCAGTCTACATTAATGGCCGTACAGAACTTAACTTTAATGTGTGCTCAAAAGTAGGTACCCGTTGATGTCTCCTGTCACACCCTTTAATTTCTGCCAGAAGCTTTGATCTGCTTATATTTATTTGCCATATTTTTACAGGCTTAGTCTTTATTTTAGTTTATTTGACCAATATTGTTTTGTTGTAAAAATGAGTTTTATTTATGAAAAGAAATTCTGTGCCTTATGTGTGTTGTATATTTTTTTTCATGTTCATATTGTTGTAAGCAAAGCATAGAATGAAAACAATTTGATCTATAGGATTATATTTTTATTTTCATTTAATCATTATTTGCTTTCTGTAGTAAGCATGCAGTGACAACCAGCAGGGATATGAGGTGACTACTGTAAGCATTTCCTGTAGTTTTGATAAACAGATTCATGTAGATATCTCCAATATATACACTTGCATCCCATTTTTGACAAAGTCTCTCCACGACCCTTCCTTGCACATTTTATTTCCGCTTTTTGCAGAGTAAACAAAAACCAATTAAAACAAAACAATATCCTATTTAACTTAAACATATAGACCACTACATATAAGGGTAATTTTAATTTCTTTTATGAGAAGATCTAGATATACTATATACTAAACATAAATGGTCAATACATATTTGAAATAAATTGATAAAGGTTTACACTTTAATTCATATTTCAATTACTTTTAAATTAACAAAACGTGCATCTTATATGAGTTTAAGTGTTTCTTTTAAAAAGCAACAAAAGTTAATCTAATTCTTTGAAAATGTGAAAAACATGTATTATATATCTTTAAAAATCCACGCCAGTTGAAATAAAAACCTATCATCCTTTTCTCCAAGAATGCATATAAAATTTACTAAACTTAAATGGCAAGCAAATGGTGCTTATATGATATATATAAATTCATTTTATATTAGTTTATGAAGACGTGCCGTAAATGGAGGAGAGGCATATAATTACCTAAACTGCCTTTATTTGACAGAAAAATAATTTAGTTTTAGCCATCAATATTTCCTTTGTTTGAAATTTCCAATGGAAAGGGAACAACACATTGTACCAAAAAGGGCCATTTAATCCAAGTTTTATTGAAATTTCAAACTTTTATATTTCAATTTCCACACCAAAGACCATGATGACTGCATTTTATTATTTCCTTGTATAATTTGTACAATTCGACTTGAAAATATTTATTTTTGAAGAGAAATGATTTTACAGCAAGTATTTTCCTCAATAACATTGACACACTTTATGGGTTTTTGAAAGGAACTACGGAATATGCCTAAAAAAACAATGAACTGCCTTTAGTGTTTGATAGGAAATAAAATTGTTTGTGCATTTCTTTTTCCAAAAAATTATCCGTATTAAAATATATATGTTTTACTTTACTGTCATGATGTCATAATTTATATTCACTTTTATTATTATTATTTTTAAGTATATTATGTCAATATATTTTGAATTATTTGTACAAGTAATTGTTTGGAATGATATAATTTAGAATAATAAGAATCAATTAAAATTTAAACTTTATGATCAGTTTTAAATAATAAATAAATGCATTTAAGATATCTTTATTTGTTACACATTTTTCATTTTATTTACTGCAATAATTTCTACATCTACTGGTTACAACTTTGCTTAGAGTAATATTCATATTTATTTAAAATCTTTCATGTAATTATTACATATTTCAATATTCAGTCATATCTAAATGATTTGCATAATACATTGCATTATTTGCATAATCATATAACATATATTTTAAATACATTATTTACAAACTAGTATTATGATATTACTTAGAAGGATTAACATGTCTTAGAGTGAATATTTTGTCTGTTTGTAGGTATCCACTTTCTCCAGCTTAAAGTACAGAACTTGAATTTAGTTGCTATTGAAAATTAGTGAATAGCAGGAAAACTTTGCTCCGTTTTATAAAAGCAAAGACTGTGAAATCACTAATTTTCGTGAGGAGTTTAATTTTCGTTGTTTCGATTTATGGAGAGACCCACGAACTTATGACCACCACGAAATGTAAATTTTCATAATTATGCATTACTAGTAAACATTTTCAATCATGACATCAAATTCCCACAAACCAATATATTTTTCCCAAACCTCGAAAATTTAACTCCACGAAAATGTGGGATCTTTATACATTAAGTTCAGACTAAAACGTGAATACAAGTATTTGTTATGATTTGCATTAATAACATTGATAATGCATTTAAATAAATACAAAAATCAACAATAAGAATGCAAAAAAATGAACCAAAAAAAAAAAAAAAACCACAAAAATGCTAAAAGCATTCCAGATGAATTTTATGTAGAAACAATCTATGTTTTCGAATTTTTTTTAAATTAGTGTCTTTACATGTAATATTTTAAAGATGACAAAGAACGAGGCAAACTATTGACAGTTTGATGATACATATCATCAACACTCAACAGCCTCGTTTAAAGCCATCAATCCGCAAGTTCTATGGTCCGTGCAATGGCTATGTCTACAAAATTAATGCAATCTGTTCACACTGTATTGTTTGTGGATTATTCATGATTATTATAAAGAGCACACAGTGGGAGTGACCCTTTGACAGGAGATTCTCACTCATCCATGGACCTGATTTTCACCTCTGAAGTTTTAAAATGTCTGTTTGAGCTCTGCTGCCGATTGGTATTGTTTCAACGGATGTAGAGCTTGATCAAGGTTTGTTATTTTCTGAAAATAGGACACAGATCACCATTCGGATTAAAATAAGATCACTTGATCCGCTCATAAACATGTAAATCGCTAAATCGTTCAATGCGAGCGGGGTAAATGAACTGCTTGAAATGAAATTCCATAGGTGGGATCAGGCGCCTGTGAGAAGTAAATACCCTCTGTGGACCCGTGACACCTGTGGTTATCTTAATGTATAAGTCAGGTACACGGAATTAACATTCTGTAGTCCAATTTAGTATTCAGAAACAAGGTCTTAACTAATATTGGAATGAAATTCGACATGCAGCCGAAGAACGACAAAAAATAAGCTTATTTACTTACAAGTGAATATTACGAAATCCTGCCTTTAAATGAGGTTGTCAAAATACTTTTACCAGTAATGTCAATTGTTTGCCAGTAGCAATTTAGTAATTTTAGTTATTTACTATAGTACCAATTAATTTAAACTTTTGATTTTACATGTAAAAGCTTTTTGTCTTGGTCTAGCTAGTACTAGTGTGCCGTTTTCAACAAATTTTGGTAAATACATGTACACGTACATGTAACATCTAAGAATAAATGATAATAAGAACATTAATTTTCAAGATCTCTAACAGCATGAGGTATTTTGTCAAAAACAAAAAGACCTTCAAAAATATATTTCCCTAAGTGACATCTAGTTTTACGTCTCCTAATGGGTCACTCAGATGACCTATTGCTGTTGTCCGTAGTTTTCCGTAAACATTGACCATTTCCAGCATACATATATATAAATACTTAAACCGCTTGATCAATTTTAAAGGGAAGGCAAAAATTTGAATATCATGGTCCCTGACCTTGATTTTGGAGATTATGAAATGGGACAAAAACTTTAGTACAATTTATTTAAGTATTTTCTGGAAATGAAGAGTCAAACCCAGTCTGATGGCATTGTTACAATATATGACAAGTTAAGCTATGAATTTCGCCTAAATTGCGAAATGCATGGCCCCAGGATAAGAGATGTAGTGTTACATGTAGGTTGGGGCTCAATTAATTATAAAGTGCAATACATAAATTCTGTATGAAGCTTTTACTCTCCCCTGTATAATAAGAGCATATGAACTGCATATGAATAATAAGAGCTTCTGATGAGCAAGGGGCGTCTTCTAAATCTATGAATTCCACTGTCCCTTATGTAGTTCTGGTGAAAGGGATCGACTCTCTTGATTTTTAAATGGTGAACATGCTCTTTTTAAAAAATCTACTTCTCTTCTTCTGAGTATTGATAGGATCATTTATTTGAACTCTTTTTATTTTTATTTGTGCAATATTTATATTTTTATAAATACCCGTAAATCATCAAAATACAGTTCGAGCAACTGGATTTTTAAGTCTATCTAAAACTAGTATTTTATCGTTTTTATTAGCCGTCTGTCTATAGCTGTCTATCTGTAAAAAGAAATTTCAAAATGCTACTTCTCTTATCAAAAAATATTTTTGAATTCTGTTTTAGTTATAACTGATTACAATAATAACTTGGCACAAAATGAATTTAATTTGTTATAATAGATTCATTGAATTCGTTATAACGTTATAACGAATTTAAGATACATGATTCTATTTATCGATTTGTTTTTTATTATAAGGAATTCAACAAATCTGTAATAACAGATTAAATTCGTTATAACGAATTAAATAAATCTGTAATAACAAATTAAATTCGTATTAACGAATTCAATGAATCTGTTATAACAAATCAAATTCATTATAACGAATTCAATAAATCTAAAAATAAAATTCGAAATTTCTGGTTATAATGAATTCTAAAAATCGTTATATCGAATTCAAAAATATTTTTTGATAGGTCCTAAATGGGCTTCCGTATCTTACAGATTTTGTCTGATTACAAAATAACTTGGCACAAAAGTAGACTACACTAAGATACATGATTCTATTTATCGGTTTTTTATTTCGATAAACGGGGTTCCGTGGTTACTAAAAATAGAATTTTATGTGACATACTTTCAAAATTCTTCCCCTCTTACAGTTTTGGTCTAATTTCAGTATATATAACTTGGCACACAAGTAGACAACACTGAGATACATAATTCTCTAAATCGGTTTTTGATTTCGATGAACGGTGTTGTCGAGCTAGGTTACTTAAAATAGAAATATCTGTAAAGTACTTTCAAAATGCTACTTCTCCTACAGTTTTGGTCTGATTTCAATATAACTTGGCACACGAGTAGACTACACTCAGATACATAATTCTGTGAGGGACTCAAAGAATTAGATTTTTGTTCTTGTTTTTTTCACAACAAACAGGACCAAATCATGGTCCTGTAAAAGTACACATCGTGTGTACTTCCGTAACAAAGTAGTAAAAAAAACCGAACATGTCACACAGCAGACAGTGTGTCGATGAACTTGTTCTTCATTTGAGTGCAAAACTTTTCTCAGGCTTGTTTATGCTAATAATATTGTATTTATTCAATTCCTATTACAATGCATTTCAACACATCTTTTTTCTGTTGCTTCGTAAATTTATGTACGCTTATATAAAAAAAAATGCAAAAAATGGTCATTAATTAAAATCACAAGTACTTTAAGATACTTATAATGATATAAAAGTCTTTATTAATACATTTAATATAAGTATGAACATGAATCAATTTATATATAGATGAACCAGAAAGGGATATGGAAGAGAATAATAAGTCTTCGTCTGGCATTACGTGCCGATCACAAAGAGAGGTTGCACTTTATTAGGTTCCTTTAAATGAACGTAAAATTATTTGAAATATAACATATATATTCAATGTCAGTTAACTTTATCAGTAAGTCTTTCCAGTCCATGTAGATGCAAATCATCTATTTTTTTTTTTTAAAGCAAGAATTGTATTTTTTTAAAAATTATTTTTGGCTTAAATTAGATTTAGGTCGCTTAAGGTAAACAGTTACTGAAACATTAACTGAAATATTAAATCAAAACATCCTGTTTTATTTGCATTCGTTACTTACGTAATCTAAACATAGCACTTTTACGGTACGTAGCTGTCGTATTTAGAATGAATGTCAAAGAAAAAACACACATATGTCGATAATATACGTGTCTTCCCCATTACTTAAGATATTAACGTTTCGGAACGTGTTTTTAATTATTCGTAAACATTAGAGACTTAGAGATGTATAATTGCATTGCATGTATCTGTACAAGTTCACTGTAAATTTGTTAATTTAAAAATTAATCTTGAGAAATGTTAAAAAAAAAGCTTAAACACGTCTGATTTATTTTTGTAGAAACGAACTTTGCTTACGTCTGAATACATAACAAGAGATTTTAACTTTTTTAAACAAAAAATTGGCAAATTAAGTCTCATATAGCCAAAACAAAATATTTTTAAAAAATATTACGTTCTTTTTAATATTGAAACATTAATACCTATGGCTATTGATAATTACATGAGTTTTTCTGTTAAACTATGTTGTGAAAACAAAATCAAAAGAAAAATAAGCTTTTGATATGATTTTTTCTCTCATAAAAATAAATGATTCAATCATTTATAGATTAATGAATAAAGAATCATTATTTAGACGGCCCTTGAAACAAATGTTTTTCTTGTAGTTTTATCTGTTCTCAAAATATGGTTTCACATTCGAAGCACTTTAAAAGAGATTCTTTTTTTTTTTTTTTTTTATAGAAATGTTATGTTTTGCATTCATGTACGTAGATTTCTCAAGAGACACTGCATTGTTTTTTTTACCTATATGTAGTGTAACATTAAAAAAAAAATTATTATAATATCAGATAATTATATACATGTAAGATAATTAAAACAATCCCAAGTTTTTGAAGGGGTTGGAGAGAACAATAAATAATATGAACAAAATCTATAATAATAATTGTGCCTTAAACTGTTCGATGGTTTTAAATGTACATAATCTTTTTAAAATAAATTATAAGTTTGTTTTAAAATGTTATGACTTTGAGAAAGGTGTGAAAAAATAATTGTTTCCCCTTTATAAATATGAACTGCGTATTGTTGCCACCTAAAGTAATGTAATTCTCATACTGTTGGATATTTTTTTGTGTCATATGATGTATGTTAGCTTCTTTCTTGAGTTAATATTAAACATATTGAATATAATGTGTATCCCTCATTCGAAAATTATATAAGGTTTATTGATACATTTATAACTCATAAAAATCATAGTTTTATGCAGAAATTACCTTGAAAAATCAAAGAACAGAAAAAAATACTTGTGTAAGTATTTTAGGCATTATTTTCAGAAATGAATATGCTTACAGTTTTTCACTGAAATAAAATACAAATAAAGACATTTTAGTGTTGAATGTTGTATTCTTATAAATCATCTGTTAAATGGCGTAAAATGTTTTAAAATATGTGCATCCGTTACAGTGATAGAAGACCCCATATCTTCAATAAGGATAATAACTATTATGGGATTTAATTTTTAGTGGATGTGTGTACATGTATTTACAAATATGGAAAAAAAAATCATGTAGTACTGCTTAGGAAAAAATTCATTGTGTATATTTGTTGACTGCCACGCTAACATGTGTTTGTAATAACTTTGAACCTTTTTGCCCGAGCTTTCAAGACCTTTTAAACAGTTTGGATCAAGCGGTCGACAAAAAGCATACTGTCCAATAACACATTCATCATATTTTTGTAATGTTTTGTAATGCAAAGTAATGCAAAATGTTTTCTAAAAATAAAAGCACAAGAAATAAATTATTCCTTTCTTTTTCTTGACTTTTTTTGAGACAAAAAATATCTTACTTTATATGAGAACTAGCAAATACGGAGAATAACTACGCTTTGAAAATGTTTCTTACTTTGATATTTCTTTTCCATTCTATGATTCTTTGTTTTCGTTTTCTTCGTTTTCTACCAGCACCTACTGCGGCACAGGACCTCGGTTTATACTGTCTCATCCAAAGGACCGATCTCCACGTCCCACAGTTGGATTCGAACCTGCGACGTAACCTTGGATCGACTGCTTACTTGCTTTTTTAGATTCATATTTCTCTCTGTCAGAGCTCTACCGAAATTGATGATTAAAATGTTAAGTGTCCTACCAACTTCTGGCATTAACATATTGCGTTACTTAAAGCAACGACATATTTGTAACACTCATTGTTCATTTTCGGCTTTATCCATCTTCAGCAATTTCTTCTGAAGAAGCGCACGTTTTTGAATTTTCCATCAGTTGAATCATCTTGGCGGTGCCTTTTTAAAAACAATTTTTAAACTCAGTGCTTACCTTAAAAGTGATTCCTACTTTACTTTAGGAAAGAGTACGCATTTTCTGGGAGTGATTTTGAAATAATAATTATATAAATATAGTGCAGTTGTATATAAAAGAAATAAATCGATTATAATTATATTTATCATGTTAAACCATTTATGTTGCATAACGCACTGAAACACCGAAGTATTTCGACAAAAGGTTTCTGTCTCAAAGAGTGTCATGCAAGGACTTAAGAAATATTTGAGGTAATTTTTAACTCAGAATTCCTTGACCTTCTAGCATTTACATATTAAGAAAATATGCATTAGAGAGGATGAAAAACCACGAAACACGAGGTCATAAAATGAATTATGCATAATTTATTGTTACATATTAACTGATATAAAGTAACACCAAAACAAACAATTTAATAGAAATATCTCAAATAATTAAATGAAACACAACATATGTAATGAGTATTATATACAGTAACTATAACAATATTTTTCTATCAATGTCGAATACAATTCATTGTTCGTTGAGCACGTGGAAACAGTTTCCAAGTGCAAAGGTTATTTGTCTTTTTGCAATATCCATTTCTAAATTGACAATCTCTACCACTTGTTGTCACAATACACTTATTCGTGTCATCTTCATAGCTTATAGAGTTCGAACTTCTGGTTGCATGAATTTCAATCTGCAATCATAAATTACATATTTGTAGAAAAAAAAAAACATGCATAATTATTTCTATTACCAATATAAGTGGAATAACTAATTATAACAAAAAAAAAGAAAGATTCGTCAATATCGTTTATGGTTTTTCATTAATGATTTACAGTATACGAAAAGTTCTTGACAAAATACAAATTCACAGCAACATTATTGTAACAATTTTTCTTGATGATGAAGGGCGTACAAATACGAAAGATATTTTCATTACATTTTAAATCTTTAATGTTTGCATTTTAGGATTGACTTTCGGATTTTCACGACCTTTATTGTAAATAATATTAATTGAAGTGAAGTGCAAGAAAATGTATAAATGATTTCAATGCAAGGTAAAAATTGTAATTCTTATTTCGTTTACTTGCTGCATACATGGCGTTAATACACATCTTATTTTCTAAAATCAAAACGACTTTCAGCGATGATACTGGGAGTAATTTGTTATTTTTTTAAAAGTTTCTTTACATATCTTAGTGAAGCTAATTTATAATTTATTAAGGGGAAATGAAATAATATACTTATTCATAAAATATGTATGAGATTTTATATCTTTTCTAATGATCATCTTTCTGTGAATTAACTTTTTATATTAAAGTCAATTAACGAAATTTTGGAAATCGTTAACCCCTTCTTAGCATAACGCTTTGATTTTAAAAATGGAAAAATTATAAGTGGTTCGATACAAAACGCCATTTATCTTTCTGATAGTGAAATATAAATACATTCATTTCTTCATATTTTGTGGTTAAAGAGTTTCTGGTTATTAGATCTTGAAGTATGAACTCTCTCAAACTTACCTGACAAGAGCAGTCGTACATCTTTATTCGGCCTTCGAAAGCTGGGGGAATTTCCTCATGGCTAATGATTTCCAATCGAGGACCATTCGTCCTTGCTGAAACACGAGGAAATAAATTATAATTATTAATCAAACAATCAATAACAATGAAGACATATCCTGAGCTGAAGGAGTTTTTAAGAAAGAATTGAATCAATATAGGAGATAATTCCTGGCACGTCCTGTATCTTTCTTTTACGCAGGAAAAAAATAATATTTTTCATCTAATGAAGAACAATGGAAAATGTTTTTCATTTATTTTGATAAAAATTACAAAACACAAATCTTGTACATTATAATGGATTGAATCAAACTGATTCTTAGATAATTGAATATGATCTACCAAAACTGTTTTATTATTGTGGTTGTTGTTGATAATTATTATAATTCCTACCATAAATTTTATAATATTTTTTCAAGTCCAGAATTGTTGGACCGCATGAAGTTGACCTTCCATACAAGGTGGTTGTTGTATTTGGTGAAACGTTGGTTCCCTTAAAAACAAAAAAAAAATAGATTTTTTTTAAATATGTGAGTGAAATTTCGGTTTCTTGCACCTGTTTGTTTTGCGTGTGATATTATGTCCTACTTTCAGGTGTTAATTTAATTTATTGTTTACGGTTTATATACATTAATATAAAACAATTAGAAAATTAACAGCTCTTGAAAATCATATTTAGGCACTTTGTACTAGGTGTATTTAAGCAATACCATTGTCTGACATAAAAACCACAACAAGGAGACTGTCGTAAATTTGAAACTTGTTTGACGTTTAATTAACTATAAAGGTTATTTATTATCAAAATAGTTTTCATTTCATAAGTAATAAAATAAAAATAAACGAGCCTGGTTTAGTTAGACTTACTTTATATACTCTTCTCACAGTAACTGCATACGTCCTATCGAACGGATCACCGGGTGGACCCGTAACATCATCAACATAGGCTGTAAATGCTGCAAAAAAAAAAAACAACTCCAATTTTGTTATTTCTCAATATTTTCATTTTGTTTATGAGAAACACAAAAACTTTTTAAAAAATTGCCACATTATGTTAATTTTTATCGCCTATATATGGCTGAAATATTGCCGATTAGGCGTAAAACATTAATCAATCAATCAATCATTTCGTGTCTTACGTTACAGAGTTATTACTTCACTGTTAATTTACAAGTCTTTGCGAGTCCAAAAGAAACCATTCAAATAATAATACGTGTAACTTTAATATGAAGATAAATGTACACTTAGAGATACTAAATAAACGAAATGTAATTATGTTATTTTGTTTCTTAAATCGATCATTTTGTTTCTTTAACTTTTGATATCTTAATTATATATTTTCAGTATTACAAAACCTGATGCAGATTCACAGAAAAGAACTATAGTATTTGAATCATATTTTTGAAATATTGTTTTCCTGAAGGCGAACAAACAATTCAAGCTATAAAATGCCATCCCCATAAACATTATAAATCATGTCTATGATTTTGCTTTTTAAAACATTTTTTTTAATTAAATGGAGTTATTTTGAGATGTTTGTAAGTAATATATATGAGTAACCTCTGTCGAAAAAAGAACTATTTTTCATACATTAGATTTTTTTTACATTTAGGATAATATAATATAAAGTATTCATTTACTTAAAGAAAATGAAAAACGGCTTTCAAAAATGTTCAGTTAAAATATTCCTGACGCCAGTTAAGTTTGACAACGAGTATATAAATTTCATTTTTATTTCGTAATCTAATAAATGCAAACTTAATAATTGACATAATCCAGAATGATAAAAATTGCTGTATTAAAAAGCGGTGCACTTCAATACTCTCATAATTATAACATTAATTTAAATTAATATATGTCTAAATAAACCTATTTTAGAATAAAAATCAACAGTCATATGCTAAAATGTCCGATTCAAATAGTCAAATGAATGACACATTGTACATGTATTTGGTTTAAGGTTATGAACAAATATGCATTTGGGAAGTAAATGCACAAATTCTTTCAGTACATTTTGGGTGCAATTTTATAAAATGATCTCATAAAATGAAATTTGTCCTTTTTATGACTTTTTGTAAATTTGATGATACGCCACGGAAACAGAACTTACATCAATTTTTTTTAGTTATATCTAATTTACGTTTATCTCTCAAAAAAGAATGACATTATTTTACAAGATTCATTAAAACTAATCCATTATTGTGAAATTAAATGAAAGAAAAATAACTTGATTCCCCCATTTTAATTACATTTAAACAGAAACAATGAAAAAAAATTAAATATTGTAAATGTACTTTTTTCCAGGAGGGTGAAAATCCTCGGAATTGCAATTTTTCTTCCATCCACTGGTAAAAAAGATATTTCTTATTTCTTATTTTCGTAGATTACCACAATATTCTTTAAATGTACTTTAAGAGCACTGGGATAAATTTCTGCGGAAACTCTATGATCATGTTCATAGCGTAGATTAATGCCACACGGGAAAAAAATACTTCCACAGTAATTACTTCCGTAGCATTATAAAACTTGTCGCTTTTATAACTCTAGTTTTAATTTAAAAATTGATACAGAAAATTTAAAGTGCATCTTAAACTTTAAAATCATCTTGCAATAAATATCAAATAAGGATAATGGAATTTCTACTAAAGAAAAAAGAGAACAGTTTACAAAAAAAAAAAATGCCTACCATTTTGTGCCCTGCAAAAATATTGTTGATCATGGCGAGGTTCTGTACAGGAGGCCACAACTTCATAAATAAGTAAAAGTACCGACAAAATTTGTATCGATTCCATCTTCCGGATTAATGAGAGAATTCTAAGATTTGTGTCAGGCACGACAGGGTTCTGCCTTTTATATACAACTGTCACTTCCTACACATAATACGATGTCATTATCTCACTTCTGCAAAGTTTAAATTACTTAATTCGACACGTGTTTAGTGTCAAATTCCAAAAGGTCAGTTTGTGACAATGGAAATTAATTTATGGATTTGTTTTCCTTGAGCTACATATTATTCACTTCATAATCTTTGTTCTATAAGCAATATCAAAACCTTTATCCATTACCGTATTTTCAATGAATCAAGATAGGGGTGAAATGCTCAATTATGTAGACGATCTGGTAAATTACCCCACTGCTGGACAGACATAGAAAAATTTTATTTTGGAAAGAGTAATATTACATTGAAATACTTAGAAATATGATTCTTACATTAACTCTGCAACGTTTATCTATAGAAGTCGGGGAAAAAATCTCAAACGGGGTGTAAAATAACAAATATGGTTGATTGATTCTTGTTGTTTAACGTCCCTCTCGAGAATTTTCACTCATATGGAGACGCTACCACTTGCCGGTGGCCATTGAGCAGGGAGGGATCTTGTCTGTGCCTGCACTTACTGCGACACGGGACCTCGGATCATACGGTATCATCCAAAGAATCGGTCTGCACGTCCCACAGTGGGATTCGAACCCGCGACGTAAGGATTGACTCCTTACTTTGCGACTCTAGAGCAGACGCTCTAACCACTGCACCACGCGGGCGACACAACATATTTGCAATCAATAAACAATTAAAATATCACATTATATCTTCACAATTTTCTAGCCAGTAAAATAGAATATACTTGTATATATATTGTTAAATTATGAATTCAAAGCAACAATAAAGAGTGCAAAATTTTACAAAAAGTGGTGTTTTTTGGTAAAAGTTAATTAAAGGATGGAATGACTAATCTAATCATGTTTTTAGAATATTTTAGCAAATATAAATAATTATAGAAAAATCTTTAAATTCATTTATTGCAGGTATCTAATATTTAATCATTTTTTGACGAATTAATGAAATTTAATGTAAAATCCAATTCAAATTCATTATTTATGAATAAATGGAAAGAAAAACAATATGAAACTAAAATTGGTTAATTTTTTATTTTAAGCTTTTCTTAAAATTAAATTTTAGCATTTAGGTACCACATACTTTTATTAAGTTATTTTCTTAATTAACCTCTTAATTACAAAAGCTAGTTTGTGCTACCAGAAAAAATAATTTACACCTTTCGTTAAATTATTTTGCAGGTGTATTCAATTAATTTCTACTTTTCTGATTGTAACAGTCAGATAAATATTTACTATATATAAACATAAACACTATAATTGATATTTAACTTACATTTTAATAAAAAGGGCACTACATGCTTCATAACTATTTAAATATATCCCAACAATATGCAGGCTGTAAAAGAGCAATAAAAGACCAAAAAGAAACAAAACGAATTTGCTGTGTGAAAAAAATGTTGCGAAAATACCTGAATTGAAATGCCACATTCCTATAATTAATTCCTTTTCAAGCAAGAAATAAAAATAAATAATATTGTTTGTTTATGGCTTTTTTAATACACGTATCAGTAAATATTATATATGATGGTATAGTGAACAGATTATTACTAATAAGTATCACAAAGTAATTAATTTATATCTTATAGATTAATCGATTGTTAATTATTTTAAAAAAGTAATATAGTTATACTGTTTTGAAAAACAATTGTTTTTTTTAAATATTTGATTATAGATTATTATTTTATGTATGTATATTTCTCATTATTTTAAAAACTATTTCGATACAAAAATTGCTTGTATTTTTACTTTTTATAAGTTTATTTGCTGTATTCATCCTTCTTTCAAATCTTTCAAGATTATGATTGATGGTAAATTATGAAGACGATACAAAAGGAAAGAATTAATTGGAAGTGATGTAAGGGCGTCACCTTTTGTGCAAAGGTAAAGTCAGATATAATTATCTACTTAACGTTTCTGCATTATAATTTTTACAGTGTAAATGAGGTTTGAATATTAGAGAAGCTAAAACTAAAGGTACATTTCTTGCCTAGCCGTAGATCAAGATAGCACCCTACTTAATCATATATACTTAAACAATTTCGCATGCTTTTTAAAAATTTATGATATTAGAACTAAGTTATATATATTCTCAAATTATATGTTTGACACTTAAATAGCACCGGGTCTAAGAAAAAAAAAGAGGGGGGGTGCTTTGGATCATGTACATGATTGTAGCCAAGAAAATCTTGTGATACAAACCAATTGGTAAATCTAAAATTATGAGTTTTCTACGCATATATCACTTTTTTTTTTTCAAAATCCGGAGCCTGAGGCTACCCACTGGAATGATAAATTTACACGAAGACATGTATTTATGTATTTTAATAAACAAAATATCTAGAGATATGTTTTCCAAAGTACATGTATGAGTAAGGCGTGTTCCATTTGAGTAAATAGAGTAGACAATAGGAGTATTACGATATTACTCTACTAAAGCGTAAAAAAGAAATTTCTCTCTCGTTTTTTAAAGGTAATCAAAATTGAAGACTAATCAACAGAGGATACTACTTCTTTGTGGTAATTGATGCCATCGCTTGTGTTTTAAGATGACCTATTGCTGTGATCCCTATTAATACAGTTTGAATGGACTTTTGATAACGATTAGTTATATCTATGTTTTATCCTGATTACGACATTTTGCGAATAAAGATACTACAATCGCACTGGTTAAGTTTCTTCTAAATAAACGTGAGCGGCTAATAATAATCATAATCTTCATTCACATACAACATATAAATATTAGGATAGCAAACAGTTATCAAGCGCAAAAGTCCAAAACATATACAATGTAAATTTGGATCAGAGAAAACATGGACAATCAAAAAATTGGAAGTAGAATCAAAAGCCATCAATGAGTGAACATCCCTTTTTGACCAGTCATTCGCACCATGTGCTCCTTTTAAGATGTGACCAAGAGACAAATCAATACACCATTCAATGTCATAAAAATGGCCCAACAATCTGCTTGAAAATGTTTCAGATTTAATTGAAGATTGATTGTATTGGCTAATTATAACAAGGTCATTGTATTGACAAAAGGATTTGTGAAATGCCGACTTTAAACAACACAGTTGATAGCCTTGCATCATGAACTTACAGTACCAAAACTACTCAGCCAGACATGCACCCAAGTTGCCTGGCCGAGAACAGTCCTTGAGACTGCTTTAGGATTCGTGTTGATTTGCTTTTGGACATCACTGTTGTGAGACTGTCGTGAGTCCACTTTGTTCTTAAAAGCAAACATATTTTATCTGGGACTGCTTTCTTTACTCATGCATGAGAAAATGTTTTAATTGACTACATTAAGATTTCGCCGCCCACTGTGTTTTCTAAATTTTTTGGTTTCCTGTTGTAGTTTCTTGAATTTCAGCAAAGTTGATAATGAAAAAGATTTCTCATACAAATTTAATTTAAATTGTAAATATACTAAAAAATATTTACATATTTATCTTCAGACTCTGATCTCTGAAATGTCTGTACAGTGTTTAGTTAAAATTAGTCCACAAAATAAATCATCATAATAATGTAATATCAAAATAATGAAAAAATTGTTTTGAGGGGGAAAACATAGAAGCTAGAAAATTTGTTATTTCACATATTTAACCTTATTAGTCGTGTTTGAAACCAAATGGTTTATCTAAATTTGTAAATTCAGTTAATTTATGCATTAAAAGTTTTTTTCTATGTCTAAAACAGAAAAATGATAAATGTAAAAAGACATTTAAAGCCATGTTTTGTATTGAGAGTAATTGATTTTTTAGAATGAAATGGCTATTACTTTGCATAAAAAACAATAACGCCTTCCACTTCTTCAAATTTAAAAAAAATAATTAAACGCCCATTCAAAAGTTTATCAATTGTTTAAGATTATAAGGCAAATATATCTTCCAAATATATATTAAAACATTTTTTTATTTGAAAAAATAAACATGGTTCAAAATGTCATTTAATGGAGTCAATTTTTGGTGCCATGGAAGAGTGAGCATCCCCTGCCGAGCTGTCACACCAGCCATGTGCTACTTGGCATGTTCGGAAAAACGGGGGAAAATTGCGGACATAACAGCCTATCAGTCGATATGAAAAAGTCAGACAGAACATGCTCTTACTTTTTGAATCAGATGTGAGAAATATAGTCCCTAAGAAAGAATATTTGTATTCTGCCCAATGAAAATGGCAAGTTAACAATGGCAAAAAATTGAAGTCATGTTTATTATAGAGTTTTGTTGTTAATTCAATGTTAATTATTTTCATTTTCAACATATTTTTTCTCTACCATTTAGCTCTAATGATTTAAATCTAATGCTTCTTTTCTAGAAAAAAACGTCTTTCTGTAAAAATTAAAACAATGAAAAAAAAATTGGATTTTAAAACTTTATCTATTATTTACAAAATAATTAACTGAACTTGAGAAAATATGTTTCCTAACTCCTTGAAATCTACATTATTTTAATATTCTGACAGTATTCGGAAATATAAGTTAAGAATTATGCAAACATTCTTTGGATATATTTGTCATTAAAACTGATTTTAAATTCATTTTCGGTATTTTTTTTCAAGAGTACATTTTAATTTTATTGTGAAATAGGGAATATGTTTTGTTATATATTTTATTGAATGTGTTAAATATGACATTTGGTTTATCATTTCTCTACTGAGTATTTATTCCTAAAATAAAAAAATACAGTTCCTTAGAAAAAGTAATGAAGTTTTCTCGGGCAACTGTTGAAAAAAAACTATGGTGTATGGAATGCAAATATATTTCAAAATCATATTAAAGCAAAACACACATAAAATTAATTTTAGCATTTCCATTTTGACTTGTTTATATAATTATAAGTTCATGTTTTAAGCCTCAGATTTCATTACACCCTTACTCCAACGGAGAAAAAAATCAACCTTTCCTTAATTAAATA